TCTTTAATCTTTGTCATTCCTCATCTTTTTTTATCTGATTGGATAATTTCAAATGATCTTTGAGTTCATAGATTTTTTTTTTCTTCAGCCTGATGAAGTCTGTTGATGCTACTGCAAGTTTTTTTTTTCATTAATTATATTCTTTATCTCCAGAATTTGTTTGGTTCCTTTTTATGATTTTTATCTGTTGATCTTCTCGGTTTACATTTTATTTTCTTGGTCTTATTTAGTTATCTGTGTTCTCTTGTAGCTCACTGAGCTGCTTTAAAATGATTATTTTGAATTCTTTGTCAAGCAATTCATATGGTTTCATTTCTTTGAGATCTGTTATTGGAAAATTAGTGTGTTCCTTTGGTGGTATCATATTTCCTTAATTTTTTTTGTGTGCTGTGGTAGTCTTGATGTCTGTGCATTTGATGGAGCGGTCATCTCTTCCAGTATTAGGGACTTGTTTTGATGGTTAAAGATCACCTGTGGGTGAGGGCACTGGCTTAATGGGATGTGGCAGCTCTGGCTCTAGGGAAGACCCAACCAACATAGTTTCTATGTAGCTTCTTCAGTGAGGTCAGTGTTGGCATAGATTTAGGGGTTCTCAGTAGCCTAGGCTACAAGTGTTCACAGTGACAATGAGGACTATTGGGGACTTCCATACCCTTTTTCCTCCTGTGTAGACTGTTATGGTTGAGGGGATCCCTCCTGGCACAAGGTCTGGCTCCTGAGCCCCCTTGTAGTGGTGGTGACACTGGTGTCTGATATGTGGGCACTTTGGAATACCAGAAGCTCTGGGGTCTGAGGAAGTGGCTATTCCACAGCAGTGGTGACTTCAGTGGCTGCCATGTAGATTCCTGTAGAGCAGCCATGGGGCTAGGGTTTGGTGCATGGGACTGTGCAGAGCAGCACGAAGGTGGAGTGTGAAATGTGCATGCATGTGGAGCACTGGGACTCTGGAATCAAGGCACGTGCAGGATTGGGGCATGTGGCAGTGCTGGTCCTGGGGCAGCATGGTAGCAGCTCCTTCTGGGGAGAAGGGCACAGTAGAGTCTCCATCTCTGGGTGTTTTATTGGCAGTAGTGCCTGTTGGTTATCTCAGTAGCTGATGCTCCTGGTGTCCTCTGTGGAGCAGCATGCTAGGATCCCCATGACAGACACTATAGGATCCTCTACTGTCAGTGCTGTGTGGAGTCTATGCTATTCTGGAAGCTGCTGAGATCCTCAGTGGTGAAGGCTACCAGGGTCCTCTGCAGAACATGTCTCTGGGGACTGTTATGGCAGCCCCTGTGTGACTGATACAGCCCACCTTGTTTGTTCTTAGCCAGACCTCCCAGCTCAGTCTCCCCAGGGATCCTTTCCAAATAATTGTTCTCTTTTTCCTCCACTGCTTTGCTGTAGTTCTTAGTTGGACTCTTGAGCACCCAACCCAGGCCTGTTTTTGTTCATGGGTAGCAATCTACTTACTCTTTCTTATGGGAGGACAAAGAGTAGCATTTCCTCCCATTACCTTGTTCATGTCCAGAGGCCTGCTCTCATCTTTATTTTTTCTTTCTCCTTTCTTTGGATTTATAAAGTTTTGCTCTAACTTCTTTACATAACCTTTCCTTTCTTCTGGTATAAGCATAGGCGTTTTTTTTTTTACTGGTCAGTACCTTTTTAGATGCATCTCACAAGTTCTAATATTTAATATCTTAGCATTTAGTTCTTAATATTTTGAAATTTTAATTGATTCATTCTTTGAACTATGAGTTAGACAGGTGTTTCTTCATTTCCACATTTATGGGATTTCACTTTTTATTGCTTTATTTCTAATCTGATTACATTGTGGTCATAGAATTTGGATTATATGATGATAAAGTGTTTGAAATTTGTTGAGACTTACATTAGGACCCAGAAGGTGGTTAATTATGAAACTGTGCCACATGCGCTTTAAAATACATACAGTCTCCATTTCTTGAGCATATTTGTTAAGTCAGATTTTAAAATTAGATTATTAAACTTTCTATTGTTACAGTTTTTTGTTTTGGTGGCAGAGGAGTTGGCCTGATTTACTGAAATGAATTCATTAAAATGTTGCATTATCATACTGTATTTGTTTTTTCTTCTAGTTCCAGTTTTTGAATTATATATTTTGCTTATATACTTGCATTATATATTTTGAAGTTATTTTGTTAGGTGGAAGTTCAGGACTGTTTTATTTTCCAGTGAAATGAACCTTAATCATTATGTAGTGAGCTTTCTTTTGTTTAGTGACTCTGCCTTAATATGTATTTTTTCTGATAGAAATATAGCTATAGTATCTTCATTTTGCTTAATAGTTGCCTCATAAATCTTTTACTATCCTTTTCTTGCATTTGTTTTGTATCTTTCTGTTTTACAGATTTATCTTTTAAATAAGGTATAACTGGATTCCCCCTCCCCCACCCAGTTTTTCTGCCTTTGTCTTTTTTAGAAAATTTGGAGCACTTATATTGGTTAACTATTATGTTTTGGTTTATTTCTGCCACCTTGTTTTGTGGTTACCACAGAAGTTTTAAGATGTGTGCTTACCTTACCAAATTGTAAATTTGATCATTTTCCATCTTTCTCCAGATAATATAAGAATCTTAATTTAATTTTGATCATCATCCTCCTGACCTCTGTGCTATTGTTTGTTGTATACTTTAGTTCCTTCTCACTTTTATTTTTTTTTTAAATTTTTTTTAATTTTTATTTATTTATATTTATTTATGATAGTCACACAGTGAGAGAGAGAGAGAGGCAGAGACACAGGCAGAGGGAGAAGCAGGTTCCATGCACCGGGAGCCTGACGTGGGATTCGATCCCGGGTCTCCAGGATCGCGCCCTGGGCCAAAGGGAAGCGCCAAACCGCTGCACCACCCAGGGATCCCTCCTTCTCACTTTTAATCCCTCAGGAAATAATTACTCTTTTATGCAGTTAGTATTTATTTAGGTATATACATATTCATTATTGCTACTGCTGAGAATTTCTTACATCTTAGATCTGTCATCTTAGGATCATAGTCTTTTTTTGAAGTCCTTTAGAGTACATTTTATGTGTGTTTGTTGATTTTATTTGCCTGAAATGTATTTATTTTGCCTGAAATACATTATTGCCAGGTATAGAATTTTAAGTTGACAGTTACTTTTCCATTGCACATTGGAGATGTTATTCCACTGTTTTAATTTTGTGTGCATTATCACGAAGCCCATACTTAGTCTGTTTTTCCCTTTAAGTAATGTGCCTCTGGCTACTGTTATGATCTTCTCTTTGCTTTTGGAATTCTACAGTTCCACTGTTTTGGAAGGGTGCGTGTGTCCGGGTGCGTGTGTCCATGTGCATGTGAACACTTCTATGTTCATCCTGCTTAGAATTTGTAGGATGTGAAACTGTAGGTTGGAGTCCAGAAAACTCTGTTGTTGTATTGCCCAATTTACCTCTTCTTCCAGGCTTTTGATATGTATTATGTCTGATTTGTCATTCTCTCCTGTTATTTAACCTGTCTTTTCATTTTTTTCATCTCAGTGACAATTTTTTCACATCTACCTGAAGAAAAATCAGAGTAGTGCTAGGGAAAGGGAAGGAAGGAATATTTTATAGGCAACCTACCGAAGTCAACCACACCTGTCCTTTATTTATTTTTTAATGTTTTAAATCCCTGTTTTATGTTAATACATAGTTGTGTTTTTTTTTCTCATATTTGGGGAGGTTCATGCACCATTTTAGTTCTTCTATGCTTATAGCCCAACATATAGTTTCAACCTTTATGTTCTGTGCAGTTTAGGTAGCATCTGTTGGCTCCACATTGTGAAATAAAGAAATTAGAACATAATTCATGCATTTACATTTTATCTGATACCTCATACTCCCTAATTTTTATTGGATATATTATAATTTTAGCTCTTTTTGGGGGTACCTTTATACTTTTAAATAATATAGTTAAACTTTTTTGTTATTTTGTTATTTTGCTTATCACATTTAAGGAGTATCTGTTGACCTGTGTTTTTGAAAGATAAGGAGCATAAATATTCCTTGTATTCCATTTACTTATTCTCCCCTCTTGATAATTTTAGCGCTTCATAGCTATACTACCAAGGTTCTACTCTGTATGGTAAGTCCTGAAGTTGTCGTGACCTACTTCTGTACTGAAATGAATTTAACGCTCTTCCTATTACTTCTTTTATTATCATATTTTTGTCTTCATCGCTACGAGGGTGGAATTTATTATCAAATACATTTTACAAGAAGTGTTCATGTGGATGATACTTCACTGAATTTTACATGTGTGGAAATGTTTGTTAGCTTAATACTTACATGAAAACTTGGCTCTGTATGAACTTCTTAAGCCACACTTATCTCCTGAGGAAATGTTCTGGCATTCGAATGTTGTTGTGGAGAAGTGAAGGTTAACTTTTTTTCACTTGTCTGGTAGGAAAGAGGAATAACTCATTTGGTTTTTTATACTGTTTGATAGTGAGATCAAACAACTTCTCTCTCTCTCTCTCTCTTTTTTTTGGATATGTGGTGGTGGTGATAATAGCATGAAAATATACTCCAAAGTTAAAGTAGATGTTGCAGTTAACATATATACTCTCTGGTAGGGGCTGGCAGATGATGGCCAGCCCCTACAAGATAGGTCAAATCTGGCTTGCCATCTTTTTCTATGTCCAAAGGCTAAGAATGGTTTTTATAAAAGAATAATGTTGAGCAATTTGATGATGGGTAACACTAGCCTTGAATCCCTATATGTAACATGTTATCTTTCTCAAGAGAATTCTGTGTTCTTTGTTAATAGGAGCATTTAAATAGGAATATTTTTTAAAAGTTGTATTTAACTATTTTCATATTGAATTTCATCAATAAAATATTTACAGAAATTGGTTTTCTCTTGCTGTGTGAATAATGTGTAACATCTTTGATTTTTTGCCCTCTGATCCTCAGGCCTTTTTCCAGAAGAATTCTGCTGACCTCTACTCTGTTGTAAATCCAGAATGGGTTTGATTCAAGGATGCTTTTGAATCTAGTGGAGTGTCCCTTGGATCTCTCTCTTTGTTTCAAGTGTGGGCCTCAGAGTTGTAACTTTCAGTTCCTGGGTACAGTGAGTGATCCATCCGCGGGCATTGTTGGCACCCTTTGGGTCTGATTGAGACCCTTTCTACACCTTGAGTCTCCTCAATAGATCTGTCCTGCACTGATACTGCAGTTGTTGGCTTCGTTTCTGATGTAGAAATATCTATCATTTCTATTCCAATAAGAACTACTCTTGTCTTTGGCCTGTTTCAGTCTGTCATATTTGATTTGTCTGATGCTTATTCAGTTGACATTTAAATCTGTTTCTGCCCTGCATTGAATCTAGGCTATATGTTGGCTTCTTTAGTTGGAGTATACTTCCATGCCTATGCAGTGCATCTTCTTTTTTTGGACCTTGTTAGATATCCCTTAGTAATCAGAAAGAGAACCTTTCTTTGTCATATTTCAAAACCCACTCCCATCCATTCTGTCTGAATGGCCTTTTAGTACTTACTGAATGGCAAAATGAGTTTAACAGCTTAGGCCACCAGTTCTGTTACATTCTATCTATGATTTTCCCTGAAGAGAGGATCTTAAAACCTAGCATTATCTTTAGTATGGAATTTAAGTTAATTGGAATCATACATACATAAGCTCATCATCGTAAGAAGGAAAACACTGTATTAGAAGTATACTTTATGAGAAGGTATACAGAGGCTGCTCTGAAAAGGATAACTAGTGTAGCAAAGAGCCTGGAAATCATATTATATAGAGGAAACACTTGAAGGTAGTGGAGTTGTTAAATTAAGCCTAGTGGGAAAGTTGGGAACCACATATGCAGTTTTGAACCCAATAGTCATAGCTGTGAAAGCATCTTTTATATTTAAAAGATAACATGAATGTGTTTTTTACAGCCTGTTCCTTCATAGAAAAATATCAAAAATATACCCACTGATTTGGCAACAGTAAATCAAGACATGGACAAGGAGAAAAGCAACACAAAATCAAGGTAAAATAAGATACAATGAAGTTAAAATTTCAATAGTAATGACTGGTGGTAAGCCATTCTGATAAAGCAGAGTGTGCATTGTCATGTGGGGGTGGGGATTGGGTGAGGGTGCTGGAGTTTAACAAACCTTAGGGAGTGGTTCTCAACAAGATAGGCAGATTAATACTGGCTCCTTCCCCAGACCAGTCTTGGATATGCCAAAAAAGTGAGAAAGGGAGTTGATGGAAATGAGAAGTTAACCAACAGCTGAAAAACCCCAGGAAGGCAAAAAGGTGGTTAGATATAGGTAGATGGAGAAGAGGTCAGAGAGATTGATATGCTTTCTTTTCTTTTTCACATTCCTGTTGGTGGATCAGCATGCCCTCAGCAGGAAGAAAATAACAGAGATGAGGAAGTACTGGAAGATACTGACCTCTGTTTAAATCTCATGGGCTAAACTCATGTTCTTACTGTGTCCTTTCTGAAATCCCACCAAATGATCAAAATTTGGGATTGTGAGAATAAACACACAAAAGGAGGAGAGAGGAGACAAAAGCACATGGGAGCTACCAGTGTAGTTTTGGAAGCTTGGAAACAGAAGGATAAGTGATTACTGATTTTGCAGAGCAGACAGTGCAAACCTAAGGTGGCAGGGAGTGAAGCCCAGAAGTGACTGCTTCATCCTTGCCCCCACATCACCTCCCACCTGTAAGGATGCTACTAGATACTCAGGACTCCTCTCAAAGTGGCAGTGGCAGCAGCAGTGGCAGCGAAAGCAGTAACCTGAAAGTTTGTAGAAGCAGCAGTTAGAACACAGATCCCCTTCCTTAATCTCACTCAGCCAAGAGAATGTTTCTTCTTTCATTCCAACAGACGAGATCCAGGATGTGGGGACACCAAACACAACTAAGAGTATGTTACTGTACCCAAATTATATAACCTTAGTATTCTTTCTCTGCTGGACTTTGAGAAAGCTCACAGCCAACATCTAACTAAGCACATTATCCTCTGGGAAACTGACCAGCCAACAAGAAAGATCTATAGTTAAGGCCAATTGGAAAACAACAAGCCTCAGATTATCCCACAGTGAAACCTACCAGTTGACAGATTCCACCAGAGCATGAAGAATGGTCTCATTGCTATCTCAGTGATGATTCTTAAATATGAAAGGATCATTTGACAGAAACTAAATCACAGAAGCCTGGAAAAAATATACTGTGTAGGGAGAAGAAAAGTTCAGTAACACCCAGCTCAATCCTATCCTAGGTTGTCAGGAGACGGAAGAATTAACATTAGGAGAATAAAAAATAAGGCACCTGGGTGGCTCAGTGATTGTCTGCCTTTGGTTCAGGTGGTGATCTCGGGATCGAGTCCCACATCAGGCTGCCCATGGGGAGCCTGCTTCTCCCTCTGCCTGTGTCTCTGCCTCTCAGTCTCTCATGAGTGAATAAATGAAGTCCTAAAAGAATTAGGGAACGTTTGGGGAAAAATAGCTTTTAGAAATTATATAATAGCAGAAATGGAGATTGAGAGAATAGGTGAAAGATAAAGTCGAGGAAGTTCTCCAGAAGAAAAAGGAAAAGGTAGAGATAGAAAGTAAAGATAAGAAAAGGGATACATAGACAAAAAAATAAGATATATATAAATTCCAAAATGCCTATAATCACAACAAATGCTAATGGGCTAGACTTGGGTGTGTGTGTGTGTGTGTGTATTTTAAATGTCAAACTGGATTAAATGCATGTATGGAGGGATCCCCGGGTGGCGCAGCGGTTTAGCGCCTGCCTTTGGCCCAGGGCGCGATCCTGGAGACCGGGGATCGAATCCCACGTCGGGCTCCTGGTGCATGGAGCCTGCTTCTCCCTCTGCCTATGTCTCTGCCTCTCTCTCTCTCTCTATGTGACTATCATAAATAAAAAACTAAAAAAAAAATGCATGTATGGAAACATGTTGGAAAGCAAAAGGATACCAACAGATGAAAAGTAAAACGGTGCCTCCATATTCTCTTCTGGGTCATAGGGAACAATTACAAGACTTCACTTTTGTGGACCATAAAACTCCTTTGAACAAATTCTCAAAGCATCTCAATAGATCATATACTCCTTTATCACAGTAGACATCAGTTACAAGAGGTTAACTAGAAAACCACTCTACATTTGGAAATGAAATATAATGTCTGAAAACAGATACTTTTCTGAGTGACTCCCTCTGATGAAAGGAGGAAACCGTATAGAACTAATAATAGAAAAGCAAGAAACGAAGAAAGGAAGGAGCTGAACCTGCCCCACTAACCCTGTCACATTTAAGTGGTGTGGTATAGCTGATTCAGCTGCACAGAGAGAAATTTATAGTCCTACAACTTACATTAGCAAACAAGATAGCCTGTAAAATTCATGACCTAACAATCCATTGTAGTAAGGGGAAAATATTGAACAGAATAAACCAAAAAACAAATTGAGGGAAAGAGATATAGTATCAGAAATTAACAAAATAGAAATCAAAGATAGAGAAAATCAGGGAGAGCAACAGCTGTCAAATTGGCAGACCTTTGACAGAATCAACCAGGAAAAAGAAAGTCACAAGTGACTTTGCACAGCTCTAGGAAACACCACTTAGCATGTGTTCACTTTATATACTGCCTCCTAAAACACAAATGCAAGGGGAGCGGAGTGGTGCCGGGCAGTGGCTCTATAACCATCACCAAGGAGGTGGGAAATGGGAAATACATTAGCACAGAACTATTTGCAGTTAAAAAGATGAGAAAATTGGGGCACCTGAGTGGCTCAGTTGGTTAAGCATCTGATTTTGGCTCAGATCATGATCCTGGAATCCTGGGATCGAGCCCTGAGTCAGTCTGCCAGGTTGCAGGGGAGAGTAGGGGCCTGCTTGTCCCTCTCCCTCTGCCCCTCCTCACTGCTCCTGCTCTTTCCCACTCATGCTCTTTCTCTTTCCCTCAATTTTTTTTAAGGATGAGAAAATTAAGTATGGCAATTAGTCTGAAACAAAATGTAAAAGTTTTAAGAAAAGTATGAACAAAACAGGCTCAATAAGTAATAGGCAAGGTGAACTTTTAAAACTTTTTATTTAAGTTCTAATTAGTTAACATTTAGTGTTATAGTAGTTCTAGGTGTATGATGCAACAATTCAGTATCCGAATAACACCCAAAGTTCATCAGGGCAGTTGTACTCCTTAATCCCTATCACCTGTTTTCACCATCCCTCCTCATCCTCCCCTCTGATACCATTAGTGTATTCTCTAGAGTTGAGTCTTGTTTCTTGATATGCCTCTCTTTTGTTCCCCTCTACTCATTTTTTTTTCTCAAATTCCACATATGAGTGAAATCATACAGTATTTTTCTCTGACTTATTTTGCTTAGCACAATACTCTCAAATTCCATCCACATCATTGCAAATGGCAAGATTTTGTTCTTTTTTATCCACTGAAATTGTTGAATTTGTAATTCTGAATCATGACTGCCTCCCCACCTACCCCTTCCCCACAGACCACACATACCAGGCTTAGGCAGATTTCCAGAGATTTTGAGTTTCTACTAGGTTTATAAGTTCTAACAGAAATTCAATAAATGGATAATTACAATCTTATACAACTTCTTGCACACAACAGAAAAAGAAAATAGTCCTTAAATTGAGCTAGGATTGCTTGTACAATCTTTTATATATATATATATATATATATATATATATATGTAAGATAATTGATTTGAAAGAGGATATGTATGCATCTACATGGGGGTAAGGGCAGAGAGATTTTTTTTAAATTTCATTCATTCATTCATTCATTCATTTATTTATTTATGATAGTCACAGAGAGAGAGAGAGAGAGAGAGAGAGGCAGAGACATAGGCAGAGGGAGAGGCAGGCTCCATGCACCGGGAGCCCGACGTGGGATTCGATCCCGGGTCTCCAGGATCGCGCCCCGGGCCAAAGGCAGGCGCCAAACCGCTGCGCCACCCAGGGATCCCAGGGCAGAGAGATTTAAGCAGACTCTATGCTGAGTCCAGAGCCCAAGGTAGGGCTTGATCTCATGACCCTGAGATCACAACCTGAGCCAAAACCAAGAGTGGCACTGACTGTGCCACCAGTCAGTCAGTTTATACAATCTTCTAAGTTAGTTTCATTCACAACCTTAGAAGCAGAAAACCCTAAATAAGATATTAACCTACAGGTTACATTTGCATATACAAGTGGATGATATACCAAGATCAAATTGAGTAGCCTATCTGGAAAATGCAAGGTTGGTTTAACATTAGAAAGTGCATCAGTACCAATAACTATTAATAGATTAAAGGAAGAAAAGCATTTGATAAAATGCATTGTCTCTTAATAAAAACCCGTGGCAGACTATATGATTAAGGGCATTTATCAAAAAACCTGAAGCAAATATTTTAACAAGTCTTAAAAATATCCCTCTTAAATTGAGAAAAGTGATAAGGATACTTGTGATTGCCACTTATATGTGACATCCTATTAAGGTCATAAGGCAATAAGACAAAAAGATGAAATGAAAACTGGAAGGTTTGAAAAAGGAGAAACAAATCGTAATCAGTTATAGATGATTGATGTCTAAAAAAGTATGGAAGAATTTACGAAGTTTTATAATTGAATTTTATTTCGCAAGGCTGCTAGATTAAAATCAGTGTAAGCGAATTTCATTCCTATAGTCCAACAATAGATTGAAAATTTAATTTTAGTTATAACTACCATTTGTGTAATAGTAATGAAAAATCCAGTACCTAGGAAAAATCATTTTTAAATTTATGTGTTTGACCTTTGTGGAGAAAACTACAAAATTTAATTGAGAATGCAACAGAATTTACATGGAAAATGAAAAGGCCAAGGATATGTAAGCCCTCTTTAAGAAAAAAAAATCTGAGGTTTGAACCTACAGCTATGACAACTTTAAGCAATTAAAGCAGTGTGATAGGGCAGCCCAGGTGGCTCAGTGGTTTAGTGCCGCCTTCAGCCCAGGGGTGATCCTGGAGACCTGGGATCGAGTCCCAAGTCAGGCTCCCTGCATGGAGCCTGCTTCTCCCTCTGCCTGTCTCTCTCTCTCTCTCTCTCTCTCTCTCTCTCTCTCTCTCTCTCTCGAATAAATAAAATCTTTAAAAAAAAAAGCAGTGTGATAGAAAAACAAGGATAGACAAAGAACCAGGGGTGGATAATTGTATACATTTGGAGTGATGCAGACTTGGTGTTACAGGTCAGGGAAAGAAAGGATGGGGATGTTGAGTAATGTGCAGTGACAATTGCATTACCTTACGGGGTGGGAGTGGGGAGAATTGGATTTGCCCCTCACATCACACCCCGAACTCAAGGATGAATTGTGAAAGGCAAAACTTTAAAACTATTAGGAAAAAGTAAGAGAATTTTGTCAAGATTGGAGTAAGGACAGGTTTCTGAAGAATAAACACAAATTGTAGATGCAAAGATAGTTATATTAAAGGGAAGAACGAAGACTTCATAAAGCGAGAAGGTGAGTCCAAACCAGAAGACATTTTCAGCACATATGAAATAACAACAGATTACTATATAAAGTGTGAAAAGAACTCCTAAACATTTTTAAGAAAATGTTTAATTTTTTTTATACTGAAATAATTCAGTATAAAAAATCAACAACAAAAGATATGGATTAGACATTTTAATGAAGAGGAAACTGTTCAAGGTGTTTATAAACCAAGGGACTCTGAGTGCTCAAGGGAGGAGAATTTAAGAATAAAGACCCATGAGCAAGTGTGAAGTCATGCTGTCTCTTTGAAGAGAAAGTTTGCCTTCTTATTCATGTGATTAAGTATTTTTTGTGCAATATATCAATAGGTAGTTGTGCCCACTGAGCAGCACGTGAGGATCTACAAATGCTGAAGTTCCTCCATCTTATAATAACATGGTCTGTGGCATTAGTTAGCTTCAGGCATTGGTTTTGGATTCTGTTGTAATGAAAAGGTTTTCTAACATTTACAAATAGTTGGGTAATGTATTATGGGAAGATTTTGGTTTTAGTCTTGATAAGGGTTGGTGATGGTGGTGGTTTTATAAAGAAGAGTAATATAGGAGTATTGAGTTTCAAAAAAATGTATTCTGACCTCACTCAGCTGCTAATTAGGTAACATTTCTTTTAAGTTAGATGAGGATTCTTAAATTCTTTCCAGCATTAACATTTCAGTAATAGTATCAGACCTCTTTTGCATTTAACTAGACTCTCCATGTTTCAGATCAGCTTTTTATGTTATTTATTTATAAATTAAAAAAAATTTTAAGTAGGCTCCACCCCCAGCGTGGAGCCCGCAGTGGGGCTTGAACTCATCACCCTGAGATCAAGACCTGAACTGAGATCAAGAGTTGGTCGTTTAACTGACTGAGTCACCCAGGTGCCCTCAGATCTGCTTTTTAAATTGTCTTTCAAAAAATTGCTTGAAGGGATAGATATTTTATTGTAGAGTATAAAGATTTAAACTTTAAGTTCTAGAGAATGTTAACCATAGTATCTTATTTTCTTTGTCATATTAGACTTCTAAAATACGAAGAGCAAGAGTATGAAGCTGTCATACCATCGGAAAGTGAACCAGCTAAACTAGCAGAAAAAGAAACCTTGAAACATAAAACATTTAGAACGTTTTCTGTACCCTTGAAGTCAGAGGAAACAGAAGACATCTATCAAGATTACTATCCAGGCATGCCAGGTTTTCTTTTGTGGAGATGGAAAGTAGTTTTCATAGCATTAAATTAAGAAAACAAGTGAACTATGTTGAAATACTAGTCTACTTCCAAATTATCGGAACTTCACTGATTTCATTAGTCATAAGTTGGTGATATCTTCAGATACAGAGCATGTCCCTCTTAAAGGGAACAAAACCTAAGTACTGGTCATCATGGTAAAAACAGCAGCAGTGATACCACTGCCACGCCAAGAATGTCTGACATTTTTGGACCAACTTAGAGTTAACATCACTCTTTCCCAAACACCCTGTCTTTCAGGGTTTGCATGATGGGAGGACCAAGAGGTTGGGCCGGGCCTCCCCTGAGGGCCTCAGAGCCTCCTGGCTGCGCTGTGACCTGGTTGGTGCCCTTGTCTGCCACGGCACCGATTCCTCCTCTGTGTGCCTTCATTGTCTTCTTCCTTCCACCGGTCCCAAATGCACCATTAACAGGATGTAAAAGAGTTTTTTAACCACGTTTCCTTTTTGATCCAGCTCTTTTCTTTCCTCACTTTTATGAGGGTTGCCCTTTCGTCTCCACCCATGGCCCCCTTCTCCCTCCAGCAGTCAGTCTGTTAGTGATGTCCTTAACTCTTCCACTTCTCTGCTCCTGAGTTGACAAAACTTCAACTCTAATCAGCGTGATTGTCAATGTTCTCTGCATTCACCCTCATACTGCTGAGCCTTTTTGCAGAAAACTTTCACAATCACGTGGGTACCTTCTTTTTCCTGAGTCACAGTCTCTAGCATCAGTGGGACAGGGGGCACTGCCTGGTGCCCTTTTATGTCTCCTTTTAACTTTCCCTGTCATTCCTCACAGCATCTCTTTACACTGTCACAGTTTAACCATAAGCCTTCTACTACCTGATTATGCTTCCTACTTTATAAAAAATGAAAATTAAAAATAGAAGTAACCAAATGGAAACATCTAACTTGCAGCTCCCCGGCCCCATTTTAGTACTTGCCTCACATCTGGAGCTCCTTTTCTGCTACATCTTCAGGAATGTGAGGTCCATATGTCATCTCTCTCATCTTCTTTTTTAATAGCTCTTTTCTGTCTGTGCATTAATGTGTTGTAGGCTTACGGCTCACCTGTCTTAAAATGACCCAGAAGCATTGTTGGGCCATTGCTCCCTTTTCACATGATGAGATCAGGCCTCTTGAAAGTGTTGCCTCAGCCTTCCCCCTCCACTTCCTTCTTGTTCCCTGCTTGGGTGGGTTTGACTTCTTCATTCTACTCAGAAGACTGCAGTGTCACCAAATACCTCCACATGGTTAATTCCTTGTAAAAAGAATTAATTTGTACATAATCTTTCTTTACTAGACTAGTTTGCAAAATTTTATTCGTTTGACCACTTCCTTTTCTCTTGACTTTTGAGGAGACTACTGTCTTGGCTTTCTTTCTACTTTTCTAGCTGATCTTTTATGTCTATTTCATGAATCTTTATTCCTCTGTCTGTCCTTTAAGTTGTTGTTTTTCAGATGTATGTGCAATTGCCTACTAATCAGTCTCTGTCTGAATATGAGTATGTTTTTTCAGAAGGAGCCTTAAGAACTACTGGTAGACATTGAGCAAGGATGTTTTATCTGACAGATTAAAACAGGGAGTACCTGGACCTTACAGCAATTTGTAGGGCTGACTAAGCTTCCTTTCCAGCAAAGTGAAAAGTAAAAGTACTCTGGTCCTTCTGTTATTTTCCTCAGTAAAGAGGGCTCAGAAATACAAGACTGGATAGGAATACAAGAGCCAGGCAAAGCAATGACTTTTTGGCTTTGTTAAGGATGCAGGGCATTATACTATGAAGATAAAAACCACAGAAAGGTTTTGCACAGAATTAACATGATCAGATTTTTGCTTTGCAGAGATCACTCTGGCTGCAGACTAAGGAATAGATTGGAGGGGAACAAGAATTGATAAGGAGCTCAGTTAAGAGGCTTTGGATATCTGAAGGCAGGATTATCGATTAGGATGATGAGTTGGTGAGAGAAGTGGTGTCAAAGATGATAGTTAGGTTTCTGGTTTGTTTGATATAATGAATAGTGATGCTATTCTCTGAGATACAAGGCCCTGAAGAAAGGTCAGGATTTGTGGGGTCTGGGGACAGATCAGGGTTCACTTTGGGGCATGTTGAATTTGAACTACCTTTGGTCCATTCTAGTGGGGATGTCATAGAAGCAGTTGACTCTATGTGTCTGGAGCTCAGAGAAGCCAGGGCTGAGATGATGCATTTGGAATAACTATATGAGTGGAAACTTAAGGCATGGCCATGGGTGATATTGCCTAAAGGAAAGTGTATGAAGTGAGCCAAAGAACTGTAGCACCTCTGGTCCAAAGAAGGATGGCTGCAGTAGACACATGGGTTGGTCAGAATCAAGCTAGAGAGAACGATGAGCAAGAGGATGGGTGTGGGGTATCACCAAAGCTAAAGGAAAAAATTATATCAGAAATGGGGGTAGGTCCTGGTTGAAGATGGTGATGTAGAAATATTCTGAATTTACCTCTTCCCACAGATACACCAAATCTACAGCTGCATATGTGGCAGTTTCCTCTAGAAAACACCCCAAAATTGGCTGACCAACTCCTGCACATTGGGTGAATAAAGAAAAAAGCTGTTTCAAAATGGTTAGGAGAGGCCAAGACACAATCTCACTGTAAACCCTACCCACAGTGTAGCAATCCACATTCAGGAGGAAACTCAGAATCCTGATCTCCCTGAGGAGCAAAGAGTTGGAACCCTTACATTGGTCCCCTCAACTTTTAAGATCTATGCCTGTAAGATGAGCTCCCAAAACAGCTAGCTTTGAAACCCAGGGCTTTAATCTATGAGACCTACAAGGCTATACTGAACTGAGAAACAGTTCTTAAGGGCTCATGCAGACTTGCCACCCCAGAGCCTAGAACACAGACAGGTGGGAGACTAAAAAGTTCCCAGTTGTTCAGTGAAAGAAGCCTATTTGTTCTAACTCTGAGGGTCAGGCTTCTGAAACACACACCCAAGGGCCCACTGAAATGCTTTCCAAGATGGAGGCTGGCAGATGCCATCCTTACCCTCTCCCTTGCTCCAAGCCACCATTTTCTCCCAGAATAGAATATATACACTCATCTGGCACCCTGATTTTTGTGACCGCCACCTTTGGGATACCTCTAGATGGCCTGACTGGTGGCCAGAGGTGCTTACACTCACAAGTCCCGTAGGCCTGTAATAAGGGGAGAAAGAGTTCTTAATTGGCTCCACCCAGGGCCCAGCACACACACAAGACTGAGACACACCCCAGGTTGTTCTGAAAAAGGAGTCTATTGGCTTGTCCTATAGCTTCAGCCTGCAGAGCTAGCTGGCCTCTTGTTTGGCTGAAGTGCTGTCTGGGGACAGAGGCCAATGGGCACCATCTTGGTACTTTCCTTCTGCCTCATTCTGGGTCCCTGGAATCTCCTGAGGAGGGAGCTTGTGCACTGATGCTGCACCCTGATTTTTGTGTCTGCCATCAGGAGACCCTTTTGAACTCCTGGCTTTGGTAACCATGGGGTTTGCACATGTGAGTCTGCTGAACTGTTGCAAGTGGAGAAATAGTTCTTAGTGCCCATCCCAGGGCACAGAGCAGAGATAGCATACTGAGCATAGCATACTGTGTACCCACAGTCTGTCAGATTAATGTTGGGGGGGGGTGTAGGTTAATCACTTATGTCCTAGTATGAAGGTTAAAAGATAAAAGTAGTAAAAAGAACCATAAATGCAAAATTTAGTTAATGGATACACAGGATAAAAAGATGTAAATTGTGAACATCAAAAGATGTAAAATGTAGGATGGAGGATTAAAAATAGTTTTAGAATGCATTCAAATTTATGTTGCTATCAACTTAAATTGTTATAAGTTTAAGTTGTTTTATGTATGTTTCATGGTGAGAGCAACGCAAAAACCTATGTAGATTCACAAAAGAGGGATGTAAGAATATGCTGTAGAAAACCATCAGCTCACAAATGAAGAGGGCAAGAGAAGAAGAAAGGAACAAAGAAATTAAAAAACAGCTGGAAATCAATTATCATTAATTAATTAATGAAAGCTACGTAAAACAACTTAAATTTAAATGTAGATGTACTAATTATCCAAAAAGAAGATCTAGAGTGGCCAAATGGATTTAAAAAAAAAAAAAAAGACTTAGGGACGCCTGGGTGGCTCAGTGATTGGGTGTCTGCCTTCAGCTCAGGGTATGATCCCAGATCTGGGATCAAGTCCCACATCAGGCTCCCTATGAGGAGCCTGCTTCTCCCTCTGCCTATGTCTCTGCCTTTCTCTCTCTCTCTGTGTCTCATGAATGAATGAATGAATGAATGAATGATAAAAAAGCAAGACATATATATATTTTTAAGTTTATTTGAAAAAACAGCACAGAGGGAGAGGGAGAACAGTCTCCCTGCTGAGCAGGGAGCCCAACCCAGGGCTTGACCCTAAGACCCTGAGATCATGACCTGAGCCAAAGGTAGACGCTTAATTGAGCAACTCAGGTGTCCCAAATGAGACCTATCTATATATGGCTTACAAGAGATTCACTTCAGTTTGTACAAACATTCACTACTGAAATGAAAGGATGGAAAAAATATTCCATGCACATGGAAACCAGAAGCTGTGGTCATAATAGACTGTAATAAGAGACAAAAAAGTCAATATATAATGATAAGGGGGTCAATACAGGAAGATGATATAACACTAGTAAATATGAACTCAATGTTGGGGCAATTAATACATATTGACAGACCTAAAAGAGATAACAAGACAGGAAGAGTAGAGGACTTTAATGTCAATGGACAGATCAGACAAAAAAATAAAATAGAAAATCCCTCCTACAATAAGGAAACATTGGTCTTAACATGAGAGACCAAATGGATTTAACAGATGTAGTAAAGCATTTCATCTAAAAGCAGCAGACTACACATCTCAAGTGTACGTAGGAAGGACATTCGCCAGGTTACATCATACAACGGGTCACAAAACAAGTCTTTTTTTATGATAGTCACAGAGAGAGAGAGAGAGAGAGAGAGGCAGAGACACAGGCAGAGGGAGAAGCAGGCTCCACGCACCGGGAGCCCGACGTGGGACTTGATCCCGGATCTCCAGGACCGTGCCCTGGGCCAAAGGCAGGTGCCAAACTGCTGCGCCACCCAGGGATCCCACAAAACAAGTCTTAATAAATTTAAGCAGATTGAAATCCTGTCAAGCATCTTTTCTGCCACAATGGTAAAAACAAACTAGAAATAAGTTCCAAAAAGAAAACTGGGGAAAAAAACAACAAAAAAACTGGGAAATTCACAAACGTGGACATTAAACAACATGCTACTAAACAAGGGCCAAAGAAATCAAAGAAATAACACCCGAGACAAATAAATATGGAAGTGCAATCAGAGCATACCAAAACTTACAGGATACAGCAAAGTAGTTAGAAGAGAGAAGTTCATAGTGCAGGCCTACTTGGATAAATGAGAAAAATCTCAAACAATTGAGGAAGTAGAAAAAGAACAAAGCCAAAGGTTAGTAAAAGGAAAAGAATAACAGATCAGAGCAGAAATAAATGAAAGAGACTAAAAAGACAATAGAAAAGACCAATGACGCTAAAAGATGATTCTTTGAAAAGATAAACTTGACAAACCTTTAGCAAGAATCACATAAGTGCAAAAAGACTCAAATATATAAAACGAGAAAGAGGAGATGTTACAATGGATACCATGGGATCAGAGGCACTATAAACAATTTTATGTGCCAACAAATTGGATAACCCTGAATAAATGCACAAGTTCCTGGAAACCTACAACCTACCAAAACTGAATCATGTAAGAAATAGAAAATTTGAACAGAACAGTCACTATTAAGAATTTGAATCGGTAATCCACAAACAGAAGTCCAAGACCAGTTGGCTTTACTGATGAATGCTACCAAACATTCAAAGAAGAATTAATACCTATCCTTCTCAGATTCTTCCAAAGGTAAGAACACTTCCAAACTCAGTTTACAAGGTCATTATTACCCCGATATCAAAATCAGACAAAGTTGCCATAGGAAAAGAAAATTAAAGGCCAATATCCCTGAGGAACATGCAAAATTTCTCAACAAAATATTAGCAAACCAAATTCAACAATACATTAAAAGCATGAAACTCCTAGGAGAAAACATAGGTGGAAATGTCCTGGATGATTGGTCTTGGCAGTGATCTATTTTTGGATTTCATACTAAAAGCAAAAGTAACAAGCAAATACAACTGAGACTCTATCAAACCAAAAATCTGCACACTGAAGGAAAACAGCAAAATGAAAAGACTATGAAATGAGAGAAAATATTTGCAAATTATGTATCTAATAAGGGTGTCATATCCAAAATATATATAAAGAACTCATACATAGCCAAAAGAAACCCAAACTAATCCAACTAAAAACGGAGGACCTGAATAGACATTTTTCCAAAGACCTGCAGATGGCCAAGGTAATCATCAGGAGAATGTAAATCAAAACTGGAATGAGTTGTTTACCTCACACTTGTTAGAATGGCTATTATCGAAAGATAAGAGCTAGTGTTAGTAACAATGTGGAGAAAAGGGAACCCTTTGTGCTCTGTTGGTGGGAACATAAGTTGATGGGAGCCACTGTGGAAAATGGTATGGAGGTTCCTCAAGAAATTAGAACTACCATATAATCCAGTAATTGCTTTTCTTCATATTTATTTAAAAGAAACGAAAACTCTCAGAAAGCTGTATTATATCCCCACATTCATTGCAATGTTACTTCCAAGACAGAAATAAACTATCTCTTGATGGATGAATGGATAAAGAAGCTGTGATATGTATACACAATGGAATATTATTCAGTCATAAGAAAATGAGATCTTGCCATTTGTGACAACATAGATGGGCCTTGGCAGCATTGTACCAAGTGAAATAAGTAATTGAAAGACAAAGTATGACAATATGATCTCACTTACAGGTGGAATCGAAAAAAACACCAAACTCATGGATAGAACAGGTGGTTCTAGAGGCAGGGGTTGGGAGTGGATAAAATGAGGGAAAGTGGTCAAATACATAAATTTTTAGTTAAAAATGATGAGGACAGGACATACAACATGGTGATTGTTAATGATAGTGTGTTGTAAATTTCAAAGTTGCTAAGAGTAAATCTTAAAAGTTCTCATCACAAGGAAAAAATTGCAACTGTGTGATTAATGTTAGCTAGACTCATGATCATTTTGCAATATGTACAAATAACAAATCCTGTGTTGTGCACCTGAAAGTAATGTTGTCAATTATATCTTAATTTTAAAAAAGATGTCAAAAGTAACAATACTGATAACGTTGTGAAGAAAGGTGAGATAGAACTCACCAACTAGAGGGAAGTGTGGTCTAGGAGCAGGTGAAACTTGATGGCAGCTCAAGCTCTATGGTGGAAGCTGGATACACAAAGGAAAAGAGGAATGGTTAATGCTGTAGGAATGAGAGGGGTGGGGTCCAAATGAAAGGCTGAAAGGATTGGTTTGGATGGGGAGAGAAACACCTCGTTTATGAAGTCAGATAGGAAAGGATGGTGCTGGGGTGGACTCGGCTGACTTAGCACAGGCATGTTGAAGGAATTCCCATCTGATGACTTTATGTGCCTGGGGAAGTAGGCATGAGGGTCAGGTGAAGTAGAGAGATTGGAGGTGCAGGTTCGGGGTTTGTAGTGCATGGAGACTGAGCTAGGTTGAAAAGCCAGAAGGGCAGGTGAGCCAGGCAAACAGGATTTCAGGTTAGTGTTCAGGGTCAGTTTGTGATTAATTAAAGTGGATTTCGGAAGTTACCAATCCACTCATTTGTGGATTTGTCTAACAGCGCTGGGCTGTGCAGACGTAGGCATACTGAGCACATAGAGTTGGGTTCTTCCAGGGCCACTGTTCTGCCATGGAGAGAAGATAAAAGAGTTGAGGGTATTGGCCAGAGTGTTGTTGAAAGACAATGTAATTTCTGTGGGATAAAGAGACATGAAAATAAACAGAAGGAGGATGGATAGTAATGGGGCCGTGAACTGGAGGTGCTGATGAGCTAATGAAAATTGGGAGTTCTGAGCAGGTTAGGAGAGAGGCTGGTGCTGACAGGCTCGAGTGGGTAATCTCAGGAGTGGTTGGCTGAAGCCAGAGTAAGCCCTCCCTGAGTCAGGACTCCAGAGCAGTTGAGTGGCCAGGCAGTTGGCAGAGAGGCCAGCAAAGATGAAGAATATGATGCCATGAAAAGCTTGAGCTTTGTGGGAGTAGGATTTTTTTTTAGGGTGAGTTGTAAGGATTTGGAAGTGGTGAGTAGGAGCAGGGAGGGAAACAAGCCCTGTGGAGGCTTTTGGAGGCATTTGGAGTGCAGGCATGTCAACAACCATTGTTTGGGAGGGCTGCACATTCCTGAGGTCTGGGAAGTCTCTGGGTTCCAATTAAGGCTTGGGAGGGAGTGTGAGAAACTCTTGGAAGAGCCTTTAGGGAGAAAGGAAGGTTTGCAAGGTTCGCTCTCAGACTTTCCACTGAAGCACACATTTCCTTGTGTGGTCTCCTGAACAAGACCTTTCTCTCACCCCTAGCCCTGTCAATGAAAAACCTTACCATTCATTCAACATTTGATTTCGTGGAGCAGGATGGGTGTGTGCTCTCTGATTATACAAATAGGATGTCTTCTTTCTCTCTCTCTTATCCTCTGTCTTGTCTCTCCTCTCATTTAGTTTTATTGGGTGAAGTAGAACTTTGCTGGCTATCTCACTTCTACTCGTTTTGTTTGTAATTCTGTCTCATCCCTACTCAATTGAAGCTCTGTGCTGTATACCACATAAATCTCTGTTAAATCAATGAAAAAGTGTAAAATTTATTAGCTTTTGAAAAACTGCATTTTCAGTAATTTCCCATTCTTCTTCATGCTGAGAATCCACGAATCAGGTAAGTCAGGGAAGAATCTGAGAAACAGAAGAATCTTTTTTACATTTGTATCTAAGCATTTTTTGGCTGCAGTTAGCAAATTAGAATTAACAAAAGGATTTTGTTATTTTTTTGCATGAGAATTCACATTTTAAAGACTTCTTGTAATGATAAAATTAACATCTATCTTTGTACACACTGTGTGCTGTAAACATTGATTAACTTAATCCTTGTAACACCCTATGAGGTTCTTACTGTAACAGATCTTGTTTCACAGGTGGGTAAAGAAAGGTAGATGGGTTACTTAAGAAATAAATCACAGAACTGAGTGGTAAAGCTTCTAACTGCTTGGAACGAAGGCAGTCTAACTCTGAACCCATGCTCTTCAAAACTGAGATTATTTCATGATCGACTGACTGTATGACCTGGTGTGTAGAATTGCCCTGGTATTATTTATAGCTCTTGCTGGTTTCTCAGTTAATAATGCTTTTGTTTTCAGATTACTTTCAAAAAAGTAGAATTCAACAAGAATCTTCAAAACCAGTTTCTCATAAGAAGGAAGAGAAACCAAAGGGAAAAAAGGATCAAACTCATGGTTGTCCAGAATTTAAGAAAAAAAGGCTTGTGTCATATGATAGAATAGGTACGTAGTATCACTGACCCAGATTGTTTAGAAGATACCACATTTTTTTCCTGATAATTTTGTGGTTTTATGTGTTTGAATAGAACACTGACTTTAGAAGAAACAATCTTACTGAATTTTATGTGTTTGGTTGCTTAAAGAACTGTTAGTTTTTTAAAAATCTTTTTGAAAACCTAAAATATCAATAGATTGGAAAATTGTACACTATGTTCTTAGAAACAATCTCTGAAGGTTACTGTTACAGAATTATAAATAAAGTTGTATGGCTTTGTTTTATCCTTTGAGTAAGATTTTGTGGTATCATTAAATTTAATTCTTTTGTGTCTTTGACATAAAGTTTAAATTCCCAAATAAATAATTCATTTACACTGATTTTCCTCACTAATGTTTTCCAGTTTGTGCTTTCTCTGTACCTGAAATTCTTATTTGTTTGATTAAGTTTGACAGGAAAAGGAAAACTTTTCTAAGTTTCACCAATATACCATGGTCCAAGGCAGATTAGTCATAAAACTATTGACACCTAAACTTCCTCACTTAACCAGACTTCGTTTTTTTAAAAAAAGAAGTTCCTCACTATGATAAATGCCTCCCAGAGCACAAAACCACATGAGTGTGGTGGTTCATGCCTTGTCTACTCCCTTCCCTCCCGGTGAGTTATGCAAAATCTGTGAGTATGGTGGAGCATTGCTTCTAGGACTAGGTCAGTCTCTCTCACATTGTTGAGATGTAATAAGACCTCTAATCAGCTGACTTCTTGTTAATCAAAAGGAGATTTTCCTGGGTGAGCCTGCCCTAATCTGACGAACCTTTAAAAAAGACCAGAGCAGTAGTAGATGCCACACTGCTGCCTTTGAAGGGGTTGTGGAGAGGGGCCAACAGTAGTAGCTGGCCAGCCGCTAGCTAGAAGATGGAGGCCTCATCATGCAGCCACAAGGAAATGGTTCTGCCAACAACCTAGGGGAGCTAGGAGGCAGTTCTGTCCCTAGCTGTGTCTCCAGATGAGGGCATCATCCACTCACATGTTCATTTCAGCCCTGTGACATCCTGAGCACAGGACCTAGCTGAAATTTGCTAGACACCTGACCCATGTAACATGTAGTGTCTTAGCACCAGTTTGTGGTAGTTTGTTACATGGCTACAGGAAGCAAGTACAGAAGTAAAATGGTACAAGTTAGCTCAAGGTGCTCCCCCTTCCACTCCCTGTTCTCAGTTACAGGAGGTCCTGCTGATAGTCACCTTGACATGGGTGACTGTCCTTTCCATGGATTGTCTACATTTATAGTTACTGTGGGAGTTTAAAAATGTGTCCATGTGTGTTTTGATACTCCATCCTTCAAAAGGTGGAGCCTTACTCCTTTCCCTTAAATGAAGGCCAGACTTAGTGACTCAGTTCTAACTAGTAATACAGTGGATATGATAGTCTACAATTCTACAGAGTAGAATGTGGCGGTGGAAATGATGGTGTGTCCTCCAAGACTAAGTCATAACAGGCATAGTAGTCCCTTCTACTACATGCTCTTCCAGCTCACTCTCTGAGGGACACCAGTGTCATGTGAGACATTTGCACAACCCTACAGAGAGGTCCATGTGGAGGAAAAGCTGAGATGACCTGTGTGCATTGCCATGTGCTGGAGCTGTCCAGGAGAGGGGTCCTCCAGCTCCAGGAAAGCCTTCAGAGGATTGATTGTAGTCCTAACTGACATTTTGATTGCAACCTCATGGAAAACTGAATTCCTAACCCATAGAAAGTGTGAGATAATACATATTTGTTTTGAATCTCTAAATTTTAGGATAGCTGCTTATACATCAATAGGTAACTAATACATCCATAAAACATATGGCATTATTTTGTGTATGCAGAAGCACACACCACAGTATTGACCAGAGTAAGCTAGGTATAGAAGAATACATAAACACTAGAAAGAATTGATCTCTAATCTTAGAAATCAGGTCAGTGGTTACTTTTGTGGAAATGGGATGAACTGGGCAGGGTTTCGAGGCAGACTTCAGGAGTGCTAGTGTTGCTTTTTTTCTTGATTGGTGTGCTGGTTCGAGGGTATATTAATGTCTGAAAGTACATTAGGCTGTATGCCTATGAATGATATCTGTACTTTTTTGTATGTATATTATACTTCAGTGAAAGCTTTGAAATATGCACATATGTGATGTTTTGCACAATAAAACATCTGTGTCCTTTTGTAACCTGTCCTTTTCAGGTTGTTCATGTTGATGTGTGCTTTTGGAATTTACTCTCTCTTCCTTTTAAGACGACTTTTTGTCTAAAATGTTTTCTCTTTTTGCTCCTCTCAAGCCTTATGTTAAGATCCATTTTTATGAGACTTCTATAAAGCTTTCAGTAAGGTCCCTACTCTGCGGTGATCCTTCTCCTTGGAATTAACACACTATTTACTAGCAGTATTACTCATTTGACAATTTTTATATATTATCTTTCATTATGAGGACATTCACATGGTGGAATAGTATCATCACTTAAACATTTTAAACTCCAAAGCAGCAGAAGTTCTGTTTTAAACTTTTTTGAGAGAGAGAGTGGGGGGAGGAGGCAGAGGGAGGGAGAGAGAACCCCAAACAGCCTCCTAGGACAGTGGAACCCAACGTGGGCTTGATCTCACAATCCTGAAATCATGACCTGAGCCAAAATCACTACTCAAAACGCTTAACCAACTGAGCCCCCCAGGTGCCCCTGCTTTAAACTTCTTAAAATAAAGGTTTTATTTTTATCTTAAAGATATGTAATTTTACCCTTAAGTGCTGGAACTCTTCATTAACTATTGTCTTCACTGTTTCCCCTGCTGAAGATTCTGTCCTGTGATACTGCTTGTTCAAGGCTATACAGTTAGAAGGTGAGGGAACTGGAAGTTCAGCCCATTGCTTGCTGATGAGGTTTTTTTTTTTTTTTTTTTTTTTTTAATTTATGATAGTCACACACAGAGAGAGGCAGAGACAGGCAGAGGGAGAAGCAGGCTCCATGCACCGGGAGCCCGATGTGGGATTCGATCCCGGGTCTCCAGGATCGCGCCCTGGGCCAAAGGCAGGCGCCAAACCGCTGCACCACCCAGGGATCCCTGCTGATGAGGTTTTATTGCGTCTATAACAATATATTGTGGGGTGCCTGGGGGGCTCAGTCAGTTGGGCTGTTGCCTTGGGCTCAGGTCATGATCTCAGGGTCCTAGGATCAAGCTCCATGTCAGGCTCTACATAGACACAATAAATTTAGTCTTTTTTTTTTTTTTAAAGATTTTATTTATTCATGAGAGCCAGAGAGTCAGAGACATAGACAGAGGGAGAAGCAGGCTCCATGCAGGAAGCCCAGTGTTGGACTCGATCCCAGAACTCCAGGATCATGCCCTGAGCCAAAGGCAGATGCCCACCTGCTGAGCCACCCAGGTGCCCTGATAAATTTAGTCTTTATGCTGCTCATTCTCCCTTTTTTTCTTTTCATGGTTTTTCTCTGGAAGGCTTTCTCTTGAAAGTTGGAATTTCCTGACCTTAGTTCTGGTACCTGTTTTCTTGACTCACTGTGAAAGTGCAATACAGGCTAGTCTCCTCATATTTCTGATATAAAGAATTGCTTTTTTGGGTCATACCATGCACCCAGCATGGAAGGATAGTGCCACACCTTGCCATGTTAGGTGTATAATATATTGTCTGTTGTTAGTAAATACCTATGATATTCTGCACTAATCTGGCTTTTTAGAAAAATTTTCCCCCAGCATTTTGGAGGATATATATTTTCCTTAAATTTACTACTTATTCTGAAGAATTGTTATTTTAAAATTGTCCTAAATTGCTTTCATTCTCCAGTGGTCTCTGTCATTAAATCCGCCAGATTGCCATCAAGAATGGATGTGTTAATTTATGCTTTTGCAGTATTGCATGAGAGGAATACCCTGGTCAGCAGTTGCTGTTTCCTAACTTAATTTTTTGCAAGTCTGATGAGTGAGAATGACCTTTTCATTGTAATTTAAATTATGATTTCCTGATTACTAATGGGGTTGAAAATTTTTTGGTGTGTTTACTGGCCATTTGTCTTTCCATATAAGTTCATCTTTCTATCAAAATGTTTATTTTTTATTGATTGGAAGAACTCTTTAAATATTTGGTATATTAATCCGTAGCTTCTTACATAGGTTATAAACATTTTATTCTAACTTGACAATTATGCTTTAGCTTTATTTATGGTGGCTTTTCATCTGTTTGAATTGCTAAGTTTAAATAAGCCAAATTTATTATTATTATTATTTTTTTAACATGCTTTGATTCTTTTTCAGGAATATATTCTGTGTTTTCTTCTAATACTTCTATAATTTCCTTTTCCACACTTACTGCCATAATCCATCTATAATTTACGCTTGCCTATAATAGCGTAGTTTCCCAAATGGCTAACCACTTTGCCGTTATGATTCATAACAGTTAATGATTGCTCTACTTATTTGAAATGCCTTTTTTCACTTACTAGATTCTCTTTTGTAAATGGTCCTATCTCTGGACTCTAATCGGTTCTACCGATCTGTTTTCCTATGTCATAACCTCGCTACTTTGATTTCCACAGGTACGTGCTGTTCTGTCCTAGTCTGCATGGCTTACCTGTCAGCTGGACATAAGCAGTTTGTACTGTCCCTAAGCGTCAGTACTTTGCCTTCTATCTTATTATTAACTGGCTTTTTTTTTTCAGTTAAATTACATTAAAGTTCTTTCTGTGTTTAAGCAACTGATAGGGTCTAGACTAGGGTGAGACAGGTAAGGCACAAAGTTAAAAGAGGAATTTACTCTTAGGGTTGTGTAGGATTGTATCCTGGTCCTGACACCATTTTACACAACAGTTCCAGGCTCGTTAGTCCTGAGTTTCTAAGAAGTTGTTTTGATCAGTTGATGTTTGTGATTTCTAGAGAACCAGAATTCTTGAACAACTTCACAGCATTGCTGGTTTTGCCAACATGGTTTCTGGGTTGCTTCTCTTCCCATGATTAGTTTTATCAAGAAAACCAGAAGGGCTAAGGGGACGAGCTGTAGAGCATGGTGAATAAAAGCCAAGAAAAGAGAGTGTTTCAAGAAGGAGAGAATCATTAGCTGCTAAGAGGTCAAGAAAGATAAAGACTGAGGGGCAACTGGGTGGCTCAGTCAGTTGAGTGTCCAGCTTTTGATCTCAGTTCAGGCCTTGATCTCAGGGTTGTGAGTTCAAGCCCTGCATTGGACTCCACGCTGGGTGTGGAGCCTACTTTAGGAAGGAAGAGAGAAGGGGCAGGGGGAAGAGGGGAGGAAGGGAGAAGGGAAGGAAGTCTATTGCATGAGAATCTTTAGGAAGAATATTCCTGCCTTTCCTCGTCATTGCTTCTTTCCTGGTCCTGCTGTTTCCACCCCATTTGGCTTCTGTTTGAGTGTCGTCTTGTGCCAACTATCTGTGTAATTGTGAAATTAGGTCTTTTGTAATATATATATATTTTTAAAATATTTATTTATTCATGAGAGACACAGAGAGAGGCAGAGACACAGGCAGAGGGAGAAGCAGGCTCCCTATGGGGAGCCTGATGCGGGACTCCATCACAGGACCCCGGAATCATGCCCTGAGCTGAAGGCGGACGCTCAACCACTGAGCCACCCCCGCATCCCTGTAATATATTTTTTAAATGGAAAAATAATATTCCTTTCTCCAGCTTCTATTAAAATTAAATTTTAAGCTATATTTTCTCTTCCAATTATATAGTCTTTGTATGAACATTAAGTATAAGTTTCCATTTAAATTTTTTCTCTGTGTAGAAATATTTGGAATATTATACATTATTAAGTGATGCCCATACTCACACTTATATTAGATATATATTTTTTTAATGTTCCAAACCAGAACCAGAGGATGATGATGTGACAAGACATATTATTAGACTAAGAGAAAAGTTTGGTTGGCAGACAATGTTACCACAGCACTATTTGGAGTACAGAAGCTTCAAAATTGCAATTCAGAAGATTATTCTAAAGGTATGTCTATTAAGAGTTAACATTTAAAACTGTATCCTAATTTCTTTTACTTCACAATATATTACATCAAAATTAGACATTATTACAGTAATATCAAATTATAATCATTGTTTCATAGTAAATGCTTATGAAAGTGTTGAGTGTCATTTCACTTCTCTTATTTCAAGAATGGAGAACAGATAAGATATATATGCCTGAAATTTGAATCTACTCTTATATTCCTGTTTATCAATTTTTTTTTTGTTATTTGAAAAGAAATTCTAATGTATTTCTATAACTGTATCTTCACTCTTACTGCCTGGTACCTGATTTTCTGTCTCAGTATCTTTGTATTTCCTCCTTCTTTCCTCTTTGGAGAAGTTTTTAATCTTGTGCAGGGTCACATGACCAGAGAGGGTACAAGCAGTGAGAAGAAGTAAGATCTGCCTCCTCTGCCCTTCATTACAGGAGATGGAAGATTGGGCAGGATCATCTAGTCCTACTTTTAGACCCAGGATTCTCAAAGGGCAATCCCCAGGCAATGAACATCACCATCACCTTGGAGCTCCTTAGCCACACATATGCTCATCTGCACCCCAGCCCTTCTGAATTAGAGACTCTGGGGGTGGAACCCAGCGACCTGTACTTTATGACACTCTCCAGGTGATTCTCATGTACAATTGAGAACTGTTCTAGACCAGGGGCCAGGTTAACTTTTTCTGAAAAGTGCCAGATAATAAATATTTTAGGCATGTTGCAGGCTATCTGATCTCTGTTGTAAATTACTCAGCTCTGTCATGGTAGTACAAAAACAATAACAGTATATAAACACATGGGTGTGGCTGTGTTCCAGTGAAACTATATTTACAGAAGTAGGCACCTAGTCCTGGCCATAATTTGCTGATCCCTGCTCTAGACTGTTACTATGAGGATAAATGGTCTTTGTATCATTGTTAGAGGCAGCATTAATGTGAAGCAAAGTACCATGCATTATAGAGTCAGAGTCGCCCAGTTTTGAATCTGTATTTCTATGCTCACTGTGTGATTTTGGGCAAGTTCATGACCTCTCTGAGCTTTTAGCTTCTTTGACTTTGAAAGAAAGTCTAGTCTTTCTAGACTAGAGAACTGTGAAAAATTAATGAGGAATGAATGTGGCATGGTATCTGGCATATAGTGGGCATGGTGGTTTAGAAAACACATAGGTATAGATGGGCTTGATATCCTTGGACTCACTAATAAGGTATGTTTCATTTATAAAGGAAGGGTTGAGAATATGAAAAATACATGTTTTTAAATGGAAAACAATTTAAATGAAACATACTATGCTTCTAATAAGTGGATGATATAATTACATACATGACCCACTTGGATAATTATGTCTACATTAAGTTTCTAGTATCCTCAACTTTCTGGAACATAATTAGAACGAAAATGATTCCAGTGGCCACATAACTGTAACCAGACCACTGTACTGTACAAATCATCACCCAGAGCTTATTTATTTTATTTTAGTTACAGGTTTTAAACTTGCTTATCATAAGGTTTCTGGGTGCATATCATATCAGAGGTTAAAACAAGACAGAGAGGGGTGCTTGGGCTGTACAGTCAATTGAATGTCCAACTCTTTTTGGCTTAGATCATGATCTCAGGGTCGTGATATTAAGCCCTGCATTGGACTCCATGCTCACTGCAGAGTCAGCTTGAGATTCTCTCTCTCCCTCTCCCCCTGCCTCTCAAATAAATAAATCGTTAAACAACAACAACAAACAAGACAGTGAACACCTGAGATGAGTAAAGACAAATAGTAACAATATTTTAAGGAGGACAAAAACTTTTTTAGAAGAAAAACTGGATCTGAAACTTTAAGTGCCAGTAATTAGAAAGTTCCAAAGCTAAAAGAAATAAATTTCACTTAAAATTTTTTCATAACATGAAGTGGCTGATTTCTCACTAATGCCAGGTAAATAAGAAAGAGGCATTATAGTATATTGCACTGTCGGGCAGCCCCTGTAGCGCAGTGGTTTAGTGCCGCCTGCAGCCTGGGGTGTGATTCTGGAGGCCCGGGATCGAGTTCTGTGTCGGGCTCCCTGCGTGGAGCCTGCTTCTCCCTCTGCCTGTGTCTCTGCCTCTCTCTCTCTCTCTCTCTCTCTCTCTCTCTCTCTCTCTTTCTCTGTGTGTCTCTATGAATAGATAAATACAAATCTTAAAAAAGTATATTGCACTGTCTCAGAACATGGTTTTTTTTTTTTTATAAATTAATTTTTATTGGTGTTCAATTTACCAACATACAGAATAACACCCAGTGCTCATCCCGTCAAGTGTCCCCCTCCGTGCCCGTCACCCATTCACCCCCACCCCCCGCCCTCCTCCCCTTCCACCACCCCTAGTTCGTTTCCCAGAGTTAGGAGTCTTTATGAGAACATGGTTTTAGTCAGACTTGTATTCACATCTCAACTTACCCCTTCCTGTCTTTGCGACTTTTCCCAAATTTCCTAATTTCTCAAAATACTAATTTCTGCATCTGTTTTATGAGCTTAAAATAAGATGATCATCCCTGTATCCCTGTGGGTAATTTAAAAGGTTAAATTCACAGGGTTAAATTCCTGTGGTTATAATATGTATGAAACATTTATTATTTATTAAATATTTACTATTTACTTCACAAATATTAGTTATTATAATACTAAGCCACCATCATTATCAAACTAAAAGATTAACATGCTCAAAAGGTGGGGCATCTGGGTAGCTCAGTGGGTGAAGCATCTGCCTTCTGCTCAGGTCATGATCCCAGGGTCCTGGGATTGAGCCTACAGGGAGCCTGTTTCTCCCTCTGCCCCTCCCCACTGCTTGTTCTCTCTCTCTCTCTCAAATAAAATCTTTAAAAAAAATAGCATGCTCAAAAGGCTTCTGGTGTTGGCAGATTTACTGAAAGTGGGGCATGTGTGTTAAAGGTATGTTGCCAGTTCTTCATGTGAATAAGCATGCATTGGGAAGCACATAGATGAATTTCTCACCACATTATGAGAGTGAAAATTACATATTATGTCTTTCATAAGATTGATCTTGTTGAACTTTGGACACGATTTGATGTCAGCTTTCCTCAGTGATACTACTCTTAATTTTAATCTCCAATTCTTTAAATTTACTGAGGAATCTGTTCATTTTATTAATTTGATCAAGTTAATTATTTTTTTTAACCTCAGGAACCTTTAAAAGATGATGGAGAATTTATATATTGCCTTCCTCGGAAAAAAAGTCAAGTTCTCTATAATCCATATGATCTTCAGGTGGTCTCTGCCCACAGAGCTAGACATTGCAAAGAATTTTGGGTTGTTACTGCATCATTTATGTCAAAGGTAATATAGAGTGGGTGTTTTCCACTAATGAAAAAATATTATCCAATTTAGAATATCTTTGTGTATATCAGATAAACCTGGTCATTTGAGAGACAGTTTGTGTTTAAGATACTCTTTGGGAGAAAATTATTTAATAGCAAGGTTTTTTTCTTTTTTATAGAGATACAGGTTTAAGGATTCAATTAATGTCAAATACTTTATTAAGTGTAGTTTTTTAAAAAGAAAACTCAACTATAGGGATTTGCTGACAAAATAGGAATTATAATAGTAAAAGAAAAAAATGTTTCTCAGGCTTGTCAGAAACTTCATTGCCAGTTGTAGAAACCCCCATTATATTCTTGCATAGCACTTTCATACTTCTCACAAGTTGTAATTATACAGTTACTTGTTTTGATCGTTTTCTTAGTGTCTGTCTGCTTCCCCCTACTCTCCCAACCTCCCAACTACACTATACTGTAAGCATGTGAGGGTAGGGCCACGTCTGAATGAAGCAGATCTGTAGGTGCAGGTGTAGAGATATATCCCTGATGTGTATTATCAACTGAAAATGGGAGGAACAGCTTGTATATAAACAAAAATACACAAATACATATGTGCTGATACAGAGGTACTTTTATTGCCAGAAGAAATTTAAGGAAATGTTAACATTCAGTTGGGGAAGAGGGACTCTGAGGAAGGGAATTCCTTAGGAAAGGCCTGTGGTTCTTGAATGTCAAAATAGGGCATCTTGGTAATGGGGTTATTAGCCCCTCTGAAACTACTACATCCTTGTGGTTAAAATTGAGTTCATACATATGACTTTTATAGAAAATGTGGAAATTATGAGACTGAAAAAATGAACATATATTTGTGAAAAGCATCTCAGGGTGAGGAAGAAGCTTCTCTTATTCTTTCTCTATTGGAGCATGAGAAATAGCATTAGAAAAATGGCAAGTATAGAAGTAGTATGGGAAGGGAAGTCAAGTTTGGGTATAGATGAAGCGGTAGAGGTATTATACAGAGAACAACCTTAATTATAAAAGCAAGTAGTTATGAGGCAAACATAGGCTTTTTTATTTCTTTAAAATAGTGCATATTTTTTAAAGAAAGTCATGGTTTTGTGCTTTATATTTGCAGGTTACTAAAATAGGTGATGTAGAAGAAATAGAACTCATACCTACCTTGGAATGGCTTTTAGAAAGAACATGTTACTCTTTATTACAGCAATTCAGGATATTTTCCAATTTTCGGTGAGGTGAAAAAAACCCCAATTATTTGTAGTATGGCCCTATTGAAATAGCAACTGCCTGGTTGATATGGGTGTTCTACTACATAATTCTATCTTTATGGGGAATATTAGAGGAAATGGGATATTCCATAAAAGTATTTTAGACAAGTTGGAGGTGTAGGGAGATCCTGACTTTCACCACCTCTCAGGCACAACAATCCTACAGTTCTATGTGGAATAATTTCCTTTGGAAAAGTTCTGGAAACTAGATGGAGAGTAACTCCACCACAAAAATTAAAGGCAAGATGAAGACAGGAGAGACAGAGATGCACTTTCACCAAAAACCCCACCCCCCAGTGTGGCAACCCATGAACAGGAGGGAGCTTAAAAATGTGGAAACTTTACCTGAGGAGTAGGGAATTTTTCCCTCATCAGGCACCCCAATCCTTGGGTTCTGCACCAAAGAGATGAGCCACCAAAATGTAAAAACAATGGAGACTGGTCCAGAAAAACCATAGAACTTAGGGAATGGAGAACCTGCTTATAAAGGGTTTGCATACACACTCAACTCACACTGGGACCCAGAACAAAAGTTGCACCTTGAAAAACATCTAGGCCACATGTAAAGGAGACCCACTTACTATTCTTAAGGTGAGTGTCAGAAAGGCAGGAACCTTTTGGGACATTTTTAAGGAGAAAAATGCTGGAAGGTACCATTTTTACAATCCCATTCTACTGTGCTAATGCCAGTGTTGGCAGGCACTGATTTGGCAATCTTCCTGTAACCTGGGCACACGCCAACCTCCCATGCCACAGGTCCACCACAGCCATCTGGGCAAGCATCCCATCCATCGTTAGCCATAGCTGCATCCCTACTGGCCATGTGAGTGCCATGCCCCTCCAGTGCCACAGACATGGTCTTGCCACAGCCAGTGGTGTGCCACAGTGCCACCCTTGCCACAGTTGGGACTCCGCTTGAGCACCTAGCACCGGTGGTCAGGGGTAATTGTGCATCTCAGCCTCACAGGTCACCTACATAAGGCCACTTCTTCAAGTTTGGGAGAGGTAGCTGTTTCACCTAATACATAGGGAAAAAACAAAATCAGGCAAAATGACAAAAGAATATCTTCAAATGAGAGAACAAGACAAAAACCTCGGAAAAAGACATTAATGAAATGGGAATAAGTAAATTACCTAATAAAGAGCTCAAAGTAATGGTCATAAAGATACTTACTGAACTTTGGAGAAGAATGGATGGGCACAGTGAGAACTGCAGCCAAGAGAGAAAATACAAGGAAGTACAAAATGGAAGTCACAGAGCTGAAGTAGAATAAATTAACTGAGAAATACGCTAAGGGGATTTAACAGCAGACTGCATGAATCAGAAGAGTGGGTTAGATGGTAAACTAGAGGACAAAGTGATGGAACTCAGAGCAGCAAAAAGAAGACGTTTTTAAAAAGTGAAGATAACATAAGTGACCTTTGGGACAATTTTGAGTGGAATCACATTCTCGTTATAGGAGTTCTAGGAGAAGAGGGGGAAGAAGGGGCAGAAAAACATATTTGAAGAAATAATGGCTGAAAATTTCCTTAATTTGGGGAAGGTAGCAGACATCATGTCCAGGAAGCCCAGAGAGTTCCAAGTAAGAAAAACCCAAAAGAGACCAAAATATAGCATAATTAAAATGTTAAATGTTGGAGATAGAGAATCTTAAAAGCAGTGAGGGAGAAACAGCTTACTATATACAAAATATATCTGTATGGCTATCACCAAATTTTTCAGCAGAAACTTTGCAAGGCAAAAGGGAGCAGCAGGAAATATTCAAAGTATTAAATGAAAAAAAAAATGCAACCAAGAATACTCTGCCTAGCAAGGTTATAATTCAGAATTGAAGGTGAGATAAAAAGTTTTCACATAGCAAAAGCTAAAGGACTTCATTACCACTAAACCAGCCTTATAAGAAATATAAAGAGACATCTTTAAGCTGTAAAGAAATGGCACTAATTAATGACTAGAAAACATATGAAAGTGAAAATTTGACTGGAAAAGGTAAATGTATGGTGAAGGTAGTGAATTAATAATTTATACACTAATACAAAGGTCAAAGACCAATGTAGTAAAAACAGCTAAAACCACAATAATTAGTTAAGGAATATATAAAAAGTTGTAAAATGTGATATCAAAAACCTAAAACAAAAAAACAAAAAACAAAACAAAAAAACCTAAAACATAGGAGAAAGGGATAAAAATGTAGAGTTTTGGAAGTTATTCAAATTTAAGTTGCTATGAACTTAAAATACACCTTTATATACATAGGATATTATATATGAACCTCATGATAACCATAAAACAAAAACTTACAGTGAATACATAAGATGAATGAGAAAGGAATCTAAACATTAAAGAATGTTATAAGGTGTCAAGGGAAGAGAGAAAGAATAAAGGAACAGAAAAAAACTATAAAAACGATTCACAAAAGGGCAATAAGTACATACGTATCAAAAATTAAATGTAAATAGACTAAATTCTCCAATCAAAAGGTAGAGTGACTGAATGGACTTAAAAAAAAAAAAAAAAGACTCCTGCAAATGCTGCCATCAAGAGACTTCAGAAGTAAAGGCATGCTTCTAAAAGTGAAAGTATAGAAAAAGATATTTTATGCAAACAAATGAAAAGGCTGTTGTAGCTATATTCATACAAAATAAACTTAAAGACTTATAGAAAACAAAGTAGGGCATTATATAGTGATAAAGGAGTCAGTCCGGTAAGGGGATATAATATTTATAAATTATATGCACCCAACATAGCACCAAATGTATAAAGGATATATCAGCAGACCTAAAAGGAGGAGACAGTGATACAATAGGAGGATACTTTAATTAAACACCCAACCCATGTCAATTATTAGATCACCCATGCAGGAAATCAATAAGGAAACATTGGCCTTAAATGACACATTAGACTAGATGGACAATAGATTATACAGAACATTACATTCAAAAGCAGCAGAATACATTTCTCCTCACATGCACATGGTACTCTTTCCAGGATAAATAACGTTTGGCCACAAAAAAGTCTCAATAAATTTAACGATTGAAATCATATAAAGCATCTTTTTCAACCACGATGGTATGAAACTAGAAATCAGTTATAAGAAGAAAACTGGGAAAACCATAAAAACAAGGAGCTTAAGCAACATGCTATTGAACAACAAAGAGGTCATTGAAGAAAGCAAAGGAGAAATAAACCTAGAGACAAATGAAAACAAATGTGACATCAAAAATCTATAGGATATAGCAAAAGCTGTTACACGAGGGAAGTTCCTAACAATACATACCTACCTTAAGAAACAAGAAAATCCCAAACAGCCTAACTTTACACCCAAAGGAACTGGAAAAGAAGAAACGAGTGAAACCTGAAGTTAGTAAAAAGAAGGAAATAATAAAGATCAGAATGGAAATAAGTAAAATAGAGACAAAAAAAAAAACAATAGAAAGGATCAGTGAAAACAAGAGCTGCTTCTGTGAAAAGACAAACAAAATTGACAAACCTTTAGCTAGACTAACCAAGAAAAAAAGAGAAAGGGCTCAAAATCAGAATGGAAGAAGTTACAACTAATACCGTAGAAATATGAAGAATCATGACAGTTGCTATAATTATGCATAAGCAAACTGAACAACCTATAAGAAATGGATAAATTCCTAGAAACATACAACCTACCAAGACAATCATGAAGAAATAGAAAATTTAAATAGACCAATGACTAGTAATGAGATTGAATCAGTAATCCAAAACTTCCCAAGAGTCCATGACTGTTGGCTTCATTGGTGAATTCTACTAAACATTCGAAGAGTAGTTAATACCTATTATTCTCAAACTCTTTGTTTCCAAAGTCATTTCATGCAGCCAGCATTACGCCAATACAAAAACCGGAGGACACACACAAATAACATTGTGGGCCAGTTTCCCTAATGAAGATACAAAAATGCTCAACAAAATACTAGCAAATCAAATTAGAAAATGAATCATATACCATGGTCAAATGGCATTTATTTCAGGGATGGCAGGATGGTCCACCATCTGCAAAATAATGGATATATTGTGATACACCACATTTAAAAAAAATCATATGGTCATCTCAATAATGCAGGAAAAGCATCTGAAAAATTCATTTATGATTAGAACCCTCAACCAAGTGCTTATAGAGGGAATATACCTCACCATAATAAAAGTCATATATGACAAACCCATAGCTAAAATAATATTCAACAGTGAAAAGCTAAAAGCTTTTCCTCTTGAAGATTAGGAACAAGACAAGGATGACTACATTTCCCAGTTTTGTTCAACATAGTACAAGAAGTCTTAGCCACAGAAGTTAGGCAGGAAAAAGAAAGAAAAGGCATCCAAATTGGATAGGAAGTAAAACTCTTATTTACAGATGACATTATACTATATATAGAAGAATGAAGCTGTGGGGCACCGGGGTGGCTCAGTGGTTGAGCGTCTTGACTCTTGATTTTGACCCAGGTCTTGAGTCAATCAGGGTCCTGGGATTGAGCCCCATATGAGGCTGCATGCTCATTTGGGAGTCTTCTTCTCCCTCTCCCTCTGACCCTCCCCCTGTGCTCTCACACACTGTGTTTCTCTCTTTCTCTCTCAAATAAATATATCTTTTTAAAAAAGAAAATGAGCAGAGAATCTGAATAGACATTTTTCTAGGACCTACATACAGGTGGCCAAGAGAATCATGAAAAGATGGTTAATATCACTCATCATCAGGGAAATGCACATCAAAAACCACAGTAAGATATTACTTCCTATCAGAATGACCATTTTAAAAAGAAGGTTTGATGAGGATGTGGAAAAAAGGGACCGTTGTGCACTGTTTGTAGGAATGTAAATTGGTGTGGCCACTCTGGAAAATAGTCTGGAGAGTCCTGAAAAAATTAAAATTAGTACCACTATATGATCTAGCAGTTCCATTTCTAGATATCTTTTCAAAGAAAACAAAGACTAATTTGAAAAGATACATACACTTCTTTGTTTATTACAGCACTTTTATAATAGCTAAGATAAGGAAACAACCATGGTATTCACTGATGAATGGATAAAGATGTGTATATATAAAATGGAGTAGTACCCAGCCATAAAAGAAACTGAAATCTTGTCATTTACATCAATATGGATGGGACCCTAAAGGTATTATGCTAAGTGAAATAAGAGAGAGACAGGTATTATATCATTTCACTTATATGTGGAACCTAAAAAACAAAAGTTACACTCAAAGTTACAGAAGACAGAGGTGTGGGTTGCCAGAGGGGAGAGGTGTTGGGAGGGGGATGAAGTGAGTGAAGAGAATCAGAAGGTAAAAACTTGGAGTTATGCAGTAGACTAAGGGGCAGTCAGTAATATTGCGTTAACTGTACCCTAACAGACTAACTCACTGTGCTCATCAGTTCACTGTATTTACAAACATCAGATCACTGTGTTGTACACCTGAAACTAATATACTGTGTGTCAATTAGACTTGAATAAAATTTTTTTAGATAAAATTTACTCATTTAAGTATTAAAACTTATATTTTATGATAAATATTATAAGAAAAAGATTTTTTGTGGTTGAATTTAAATTAACGATAATGACCTTAACTTGCCTTTTGTTTTTCATGCAGTTATTCATGAAACATATATACTGAGAGTTTGCTAAGAACCAGTCCTTGTTCTAGATGCTGGGGATACTCAATTGAACAAAAGAAACAATGTCCTGCTCTCAAGTAACTTACAGCGGGAGGGAATAAACATATAGATATGTAAGATATCAGGTAGAGAAGGAATGCTATAATGGAAAATAAATCAGAGAATTAGGGAGTTGGGCAGCTTGTTGATTCAAGGTCATCATTTAAAAATGTATCTAGTTTCTAAGGGACATGACAGGAGACCAGGACTTCTAGACTCCTGATCCTTCACACAGTAGCCCCAGACTTGTTCTTCTAGTGTTTATATCTAGTTTTTTTTTTCTTTTTTTCCCCTTGTTTCTCTTTGTATTAATTGACACATGCTGTTACATGAGTTTCAGGTGTACAACATAGTCCTTTGACATGTATGTATGTGGTGCTGTGCTCCCAACAAGGGTGGCTGCTGTCACTGTATCATGCCACTACAATGATGTTCTTGTTTCTGATGTCTGTATTTTCTTGTGGTCTGCTGCTATCTGCTGGAGACTAGGGAAAAAGATAAGTAATATTTTAAGTGGTTACATTTTTTAAAAAGATTGTTTATTCATGAGAGAGACAGAGAGAGAGGCAGAGACACAGGCAGAGGGAGAAGCAGGCTCGATGCAGGGAGACCAATGTGGGACTCGATCCCAGAACTCCAGGATCATGTCCTGAGCTGAAGGCAAACGCTCAACTGCTGAGCCACCCAGACATCTCAGTGGTTACATTTAATATGATAAATAATTGAAATAACTAAGAACCTGAGGAAGTTTTTAATAAGAGAAGTGAATGGATTTTGTGGCAGAATAGTTACTCATAGAACAGATATTTGCTGTGTACTTCTGTTGTTCTATTGTCACGGGCACTGGAGATAGAACCACATGAAAAATATATAAGGTTCCTGTTGCTATAGAACTTCCACTCTAATGGAGGGAAATAGATAATAAGGAAATAAGATTATATTTCAGTGAGTGGTAAGGGCCAGAAAGATAATAAACGGGCAACGGAGCTGGCCCCGTTAGGGTCTCGACCCACGTCACGTGGCCGCAGAGGTGATTGAGGGAGACATGGGTCTGACCAGATCCTCCTCCAGAGTCCACGTGACAGTTGTTTTGCCAGCAAGCAGGCGGTAATACCAGCTTATGGTATCGTGGAGAGCAGTATGGTCTGCATCTTTTGATTTAAACTGTCCCTGCTGTACTTTCCACTGGTTGCCTTGCCTGTCATAAATCCTGGGCTCCACTCCTCTAGAAATAATTTTAATTAGACTTTTGAAACACAGTTGACCTGGGATGAGTCCTCTTTTTATAGAACATGTGACATCAGTTAGTCCATGGTCAAAATGATACATTTTCTTTATTCATGTTAAAAGTATAAACTGAAGTTTAGGCATTTAAAACTTACAAATCCATTGGATTTTTGAATTTTATTTTTAACATATTTTGTGATGTTTAACAAGTTAGTTACAAGACTAACTTGTAACAAGTAACATTTCAAGTAGAAAAATGAGGTAAATCTATAGCATTGGCAGCTTCCACTGGCAGTGCAAAGTGTGGAGGTGACTCACAGCAGCACCAGCTTCTTAACCTTGGGGGCCTGCCTGGAAGCATTGCTTTGTGGCCTGGTGTGGACACTCCTAACACTATCATTGGGGTGATTCATCTGGGATTCTTTCCAGGGATCTTCTAGAGTCCTGAGGCTCCATGACCAGAGAAAAGTGAGATAGGAATTTAGCTAGAATGCCTTTTGGGAGCCTGACCTAACGTTAGAAGCATTTCTGATTTCTGAGGCTTCAGGTATGCCTGTTTGTGTTGTGACATCACAGGATTCTTTCTGATTCTCAGTCAGCCAGTAAGATGAGTAGCTTGGCTTCTGGGGCACTCCTGCCCCACCAGCTCCTCTTGCTACATGAGGAATCTCACCTTGGCAAACAAGCATCACCTCGAAAGTACCACCAAACATCATTAAATTTATTCTCAGATGAGTTCTTTGGAATTTTAAAATGATAATTTCATCTTTTCAGAAACATAAATATTAGATATCAAAATGACACACACTGTCTTTCTTTACATATCAATATAAAATGATTTCTTATCAGTATACCTTTTCATTATCACTGGAAACTGAATCCTGATTCTTCTTGAAATATGAGTCTCTTAAAAATAGTAAGCTAATAAATTAGATAAGGGGCAAGAATACATGTTTTTAGTTTTTATATTATTGAGATGTAACTAAATTATGTGTCTATGAGAATTGCAACAACTCTTGCTGTTATGTTCCATTGATAGTTTGGGAGAGAAGTGATATGGTCTAGTATTTAGGTAAAATTTAGGATAAGTAAAACATGTTCCAGGAAATCTAGTATTCCATATGAATACATGATTTATGAATATAGAATGTAAGAAATGTTTTTCCTTTCAGAATTAATAAATTATTCGTTACTTGGAAATTGAATGTTAGAAGAATTAAGACAGATAATAGCAGGTAAGTTTTGATGGACAAAGCATTTTTAAAAATTGTATGTACCTTGAATATGTAGGATGGAAGCAAGTCTAAGTCATTTTTCACTCAGTGACTGGAAAGTCACTTTATGGTTAAATTTAACCTATCTTATTTTTATACACAATTTCTTTTTTTTTAAGATTTTATTTATTCATGAGAGACAGAGAGGCAGAGAGACAGGCAGAGGGAGAAGCAGCTCCTTGCAGGGAGGCCAATGTGGGACTCAATTCCAGGACCAGGATCACGCCCTGAGTCAAAGGCAGATGCTCAATGACTGAGCTACCCTGGCACCCCTAAACACAATTTCCATAGAAACATGATTATACCCACTTACTTTATTTCCTGGTCTGCCAGTCCATGACAGGAGGAAATCACAGTGCTGTGAAGACATTATGATGATTCTCTTTGGTCACTTGATTTAAATGCTTCCAGAAAGGAAATGACTCTGTCCTACATATCCTACGCGTAGCTGGCTGCCAATCCTGTTCTGCAGGATCTCCAGCAGCCACATTTTGTTTTTGAACCTTGTACCCTGAGGTGACCTTGATGGAATGCTGCTATGAAAAATGACACACAGGGATCTCTGTGGCTCCCAGTGGTCATGTTTTGCACACTTACTAGTAGGACAGCTGTGGGCAACCAGAATGGTGGTCTTCCCCATTTGGGGTTTTGTCTTTCCGAGAATGTTGTAGAAATGGAATCACGCAGTCTGCAGTCTGGGAGTAGAGGCTCTTCCCAGGCTGCTGCCGCCTTTACTGATAGTCCTCCACGCAGGGCTGTGCCACAGTTAGTCATTCCTAGTTCAAGTATGCCTCCTGCTTTCCAGTTTTTGATCATTAGAGATGAAGCTGCTATAAACCTTCACACACAGGTTTTTACGTGACCACGAATCTTCCTTCCTCTGGCGGCCATGCCCAGGAGTGTCGTCCTATGGTGATTGCATGTTTAGGTTTCCTCAGAAATGATTGTACCATTTCGCATCCCCACCAGCAACATCTGAGTGCTTCAGCCTCTCCAAGTTTGCAGTTGTCAATGTTTCTTCATTTAGACATTCTAGTAGGTGTGTGGTAGTATCTCATTGTGGGTTTTTGTTTTGTTTTTTACATTCAATCTAATTGTTTATATTTTAGGGCTTAAGTTTGCCACTTTATTTTTTGGTTTCTGTTTCTTCCCTCCACTTTGTTTCTTCTTCCGGTAGATTATTTGAATATTTCTTAGAATTCTTTTTGGATTTTTTATAGTATTTTTTAATGCACCTTTTTGTGTAACTTTTTTAGTGGTTGCTGTTGGTGTAATACATGTGCAAAACATACAATTTACTAGTGTTGTCATATTATTAGTTGGCGTGAACTCTACAAACATTAGCTTTATGTCCCTTTTCCTTCCTCTGTTTATAGTGTAATTATCTTTATCTTAAATATTAACTCTACCTGCATTTGGCACTGTATCAGAAGAATTATCATTTTTGCTTCCATCATCAAACCTAAGTTATAAAACTTATAAGAAGATAACCTATACATTTTTACTTTTATTTTTTTAAGATGTATTTATTTTAGAGAGAGAGTGGGGGGAGGGCCAGAAGGAGAGGGAGGGAGGAGGGAGACCCCCCTGACCCCCCCCACCCGAGCTTGGAGCCCTACCCTGATATGTGACCTGAGCCGAAATCCAGTGTCTTACTCTTAACTGACTGAGCCACCCAGATGCTCCTACATTTTTAAAATGTGTTCAGTTTGGTTTGTTAATCATGTTCTTGCTTCCTTCTCCATGTTCCAGGATTCCCTCTTTTATAGTTTGTTACTTAATTTCTGTATAGAGAACTGTAGCCATTCTTTTAGGGCAGGTCTGATTTTGCAATAATTCTTTAATTCTCCTTTCTCTGAGCTGTCCTAATCTCTCCTTCACTGAAGAATATTAATTGCCCAATATGGAACTATGCCCTGACAGTTCTTTCCTTTCAGCATTTGAAAAGTGGGTGCCGTTGTCTTCTGGCCTCTGTGGTCACTCAGATTGCTTTTCTTCTATAGATGTTTCTTTCGCTGCTTTCAAGATTTTTTTCTTTTGCCTTCAATTTTCAGAATTTTGATGTGTTTTGGTTGGATTTCTTTCTCTTTATCCTGTTTTAGGTCACCCTGGCTTCTTGAACCTCTGTGTGCATTCTTTGACAAATTTGGTAAATTTTCATTCATATTTCTCCAAGTATTTTTTCAGCCCTGCCCTCTTTCTCCTCTCCCTCGGGACTTCAGACACATGCTAGATCTTTTTTATAGTCCTGCTGGTCCCTGAGGGCCTGGTTATTTTTTTCTGTTTTTCAGATTGAGTAATTTCTATTGTTCTTTCAGTTCACTGATTTGTTTCTCTGTCCATTCCATTCTGCTGTTGAGCCAATGTATTTTTTATTTTAGTCACTATATTTTTCATTTCTAAAATTTCCATTTAGTTCTTTTTTATGTCTTGTTTCTTTGACTTTGTTTCTTTGCTTGCTCCTACCCAGGGAAGATGAAATTCCTGGTTCCCGACTCAGCTTTCCCTGGAAGCCCTCAGAGGAATGCTAGGGAAGCCTTGTTACCCCTTGCTGAGGATGAAACTCCACACTCTTCTCTATGGTGTCGCTGAAATAGAATGGTTATTGTTGAAAATTTTCTTGCATTCTTGACTGCCCCTTTCCTGATTCTTCAGCTGGATGGCAGGCTTATTGTTGGCACCTGTAGGTGTTTCCAGGTTGCTGGTTTCTTCAACTCCAAGCCTGGAATAGAGGAAGCAAAAGAAAACCCAAAGACCTTAGCGCCATGTAATTCTTGGCCAGTCAGTCTTCTTTGCCTTTCAGTGTCTTATGTCACTTGATTTATGATGTTCACGGTTTTTGGTTGTACTTAGAGGGAATAATAGTGGAAAGTCCATTTATTCCATTTTTCTAGAAGCCAGGATCCTAGTTTTAATAGGTTTCTGTGACATATTTTCTGTTACCAAGCAGTTCTAACTTGTGAATTAAGTTTTAGAGAATGGATTTAGTTTTCTATTATAATGGAATGTAAGTCTGTTGGTGAGTTCCTCATAACACCTATGCTTGAATAGTCATTGAATGATGCATTTTTTGTCTTGTCAGATTTTACCATTACAATTCTACATTTTTTTCATGCTTTCCCCACTGTTAATTATTTTTATAATGCACTCTCCATAATTTCTTCATATCTGTGTTAAAATCTGCAAATAAAATCAACTATATTTTTTAAAGGAAGAAAAGAAAGCTTTAAACAATTCTGAGTAATGTGAATCCATTACTATGTGAATTTTGATCACTATTTTGTTAATAAATGTCAAGATTGGGTCTGATGTTTGGCATTTCACTTTCTGGAATGTGTGATCTTTTTTTCTCCCTGTGCTAGACACTCAGGCATGTCACAAACCGCTCCACCTCTGTGAGTAGCTTCAGATGACATGAGGGCTGCGTAGTGTAGGGAGGCCTTCTCTGAGACACAGAGCTCATGCTTTGCAGGAGGCAGAAAGAATAAAGGGCCCACAGAGCTTCAGCTTCACTGGTCTCATGGTATATAAAACTCTTGCCGGTAAAATGGAAAGACAGCAAAAGGTTTAATATACAATATAAAATATTAATATTAAATGTTAATATATCGTTCACAATATTAAATATTAATACATAAAAAACAGCCACTCCACAAGGGATCAGTGAGGGGCAGAAGACCTCCTCTTTTTTATACACTGATGCACAGAAAAGTTTGCATTTCTTGATCCAATTTTTTTGGCACCTTCTTTCTCTCATTCTTCTCTTTTCTCCTTTGGCCTGTCTTGTGTTATTGGAAGTGATCTATCTCACCTTTGTGACCATGACCAGACAGTAGAAAGGGACCTAGGAAAGAGAAGGGCCCATCTTTTCTATTTTAGGACTCAGGTGGTTGGAGAATTTAAGAAACATTCTCCAAATGGTTCCTAATCCAGTTAATTTTTTTTCCCTGTAATTAGGGAAAAAGTAAATTTAGATTAATAGGAAAAATGCAACTCCTTTTGGATATCACTGCCTAATATTTCAAGACTATTAGGACTTGGTGGCATAAATAAAATTGTAACATCATCACTTCTTCCCCCTCCTGTTTTGTTCTTACTCAACACACCCAATACCACAGCCTTGCTTTCAACATTATCAGCCAAATAAACCGTGTCATGCTTACTAATGTTTATTAACATCACTTAAACTGTAGTAGATAGCATACATTTGGATACAAACAAATTATACTACTTATCTCCAAATCGATTTTACTGATTTTGAATGGGAGATAAGTCTGTGGAAATTCTTTAACTTTCAGGTCATTTTTGTACCACCATCTTTTTTGGGCCGATGAGTTATTTCAAGGCTGTTTGCTTTATATAAAGGGACTTTGTGAAGATGCAGTTGATATCAAAAAAGGTTATGAACACGAAGATCATCCATCTGCCATATGCCTCATTACGGTGGGTAGAAATGCATTACCATATGCTAATGTTTGTATGCAGAAACCAGGAAGAACAAACAGAGTTGAATTGGAGGGTTACATATTGCTAGATCCATTAGTAAACGATCACAATGCATGACTAATGTTCTAAAATATCGCAAAGAACATTATTCCCTCTGATAGCCATTTACAAGAATTTACATTCCTTATGCATAATTTCTTCCCTAACTAAACTCAACCTAAGTCTGTTATGAAGCTCCTTCTTTATTTTCAAAACTCTAAATATACAATATCATTTATAAATAATTATCTCTAGTACATAATTGATGTTACCAGCTATTCTCTCAGTATAACATGTCAAGAAATTATCGTAAGTTACAGCCCAGAGGTTTAGGTTAAGTTTATGAATTCTTCTAGTCTACAATTCTAAGAAAGGGTAACCTTTCTAATGAATGATTTAATTCAGTTTTATATGGAATAGTTCTTTTTTTCAAAGAGGTTAAAATACATAGAAGTATATCTTTTAGGTGTTTAATATACAGTTGAACAGGATTCCAGCAACTTTTATTTCATTTACCAACTGAATAAGGTAGAAACTGAGTGAGGAAGAAACTAAAAAGTAAAACTGATAATCACCAGACTTAAAAATAGTACAAGGATTTAGACAAGTTATACATTTGATAATCAAAAACTGTGTTGACTATACATGTGTTATAAGGTTAATACTTATAAATCAATAGCTTATTTTAGAATTGATTATATACAGTGGCTGACACATAATAGGTGCTTAATAGTCTTTGAGTGAATGAATAAATAAAAGAGTTAATGAAGAAAGAGAAGTTAGTCACTACAGGTGAAGTACATTTTTTATAGTTCTATTGAGATGAATGTTTCAAAAGGATTAAATTCAAGTTGAGACATTTCATAGAGGAGTATTTTTTATATGATTTTATTCTAGAAGGAAATTGGTTGGGCAGCTATATAGGTTGTTTAATGAGTGACTTTATGACAGAATTTATTGGTTCGTGATGGGTGGGAAGGCAGAGGAGACTTTAGATTATCTGTGAATGCTGGTGCCTGGTGGATGGTAATGCTAACAGTGTGACCCTAGACCCTGTCAGCTTCCCCCAGAACATCAAGAGGAAGTGAACAAAACTTTCCAGGTAATTTATAAATATTTGTTAGTTACGTATTATATGCAAAGTAAATGGATACAAACTAAAAATGAGGTATTGCTCTTTTTAATTTGCTTACAGTTTATTGGAAGAGAGAATTCTTTACATATAAAAATGATTGCTAATTCCAGAAGTAGTCACGTGGCTTTGCTAATCATTATAGCTAACCAATTAGCAAAATACAATACAAAGAAAATTTGTAAAATATCAGATACTGAGAGGAAGCAGAGATTAGATTAGCCTTTGTAGTTAAGTCAGGGGGTGTTTCATGAAGGAAGAACACGATGAGCTAGGCCATGCTGGATTTGAATAGCCAGGGAGCAGGGGAGAGTATGAATGTAAGTAAAGCATTCAGTGTGTGATTGATGTGAAAGGTCTTAAATGTTGGGCCAAGAATAGTAGAATAAGGGAGAAATAGGAGCCAAACCTGGGCATTAGGGCTGAGAAATTCCTCGTGGGACTTGTGAAGAAAGTCAGCAAGAATAGGACTTTCTGAGACTGAAGAAACCAGGGCCAAAGGGAGGGAGAACAGAGATTCATAACCAGGAGAACCGAAATATGGGGGTCAGGAATCAGAAGGTGGCCACTTGTGCATTAGGAGTAATGGGGATGCAGGTGCCAATGAGGATTGACAAGGGGGAGGCAGGAAGGATGAGCAAGGTCAGGAATGCAGATGAGGAATTGTTCAGAAGTTAGAGTGGAGTGCAGGAGTGTGTGGGTGCTCTCCTGGGATGAAATCACGCTGTGAAGGGGCTAGGGTTTCTAGAACTGGATGGGATAGGACAGACGTGGATCATTTTATCCAAACCTATTCTTTCAAATGGGAACCTAAGTCCTAGAGAGATAGTGGTCTGTCCAAGGCCACAAAACCTGCCAAAGGGTTGGAGGAGGCAGTACTTTGAGTGCTAAATAAAAATATAAATTTTTGTGTTTCTCTTCTTTTGGGGGAGAGTGCAGTGAGTGGCGCTAGTAATCTACACTTTTAGCAAGCCCCTTAGGTGATTTCCTATGCAGAGTAAACTTTGAAAACTATTTCTTCTTTTTCCATGCTGGGCATGGAGTCTAATGTGGGATTTGAACTCACAGGCCTAAGATCAAGACCTGAACTGAGATCAGGAGTCAGACACTCAACCCACTGAGTTACCCAGGTGCCCTGAAAATTATTTTTAATGAACAGTTGTTGAAAGCTTTTGAACGTGTTGTTTTAGGAAAATCAATGTGATGTTGGTTTGTGGGGGGAAAAGGAGATACAGAGTTAAAGAGATCACTAGGAGAGTGCTGGAATCATGCAGGTGTGAGCCGGAATGGCTTCAGGTAGGAGGTTGGCAGTGAGATCAGAAAGGAAAGGAGATTTTGAGACACATGTACTAGAAAAATCAGGATCTGGTAGCCAGATGTGGGACCAGGAGAAGAATACAGAGTTAATCTAGAATTTTAAAGCTAGAACAGCACTTTTCAATCTTTTTTTTTTTTTTTTTTTTTGAGGAGAGTGTACATTTTTAAAGTATTTCAATAGAGGGATCCCTGGGTGGCGCGGTGGTTTGGTGCCTGCCTTTGGCCCAGGGTGCGATCCTGGAGACCCGGGATCGAATCCCATGTCGGGCTCTCGGTGCATGGAGCCTGCTTCTCTCTTTGCTTGTGTCTCTGCCTCTCTCTCTCTCTGTGTGTGACTATCATAAATAAATGAAAAAAATATTTTTTTTAAAAAAAGTATTTCAATAGAGCTGGGGTCAAAGGTGTTAGCTATTTATTGATGAAAATGCATTTTGGGAAGAGAATTAATAGAATATGGGAAGATAAGAAAATTCTGGAGGGAGGAAGGATGCCGTGATCTATGTTGTTTGTCTATGACAGGGCTTAGTAGCATAGTGATGGAAATTTCTCCAGGCTACATTTTGAATGAGCTCAGAAGAATGTGCACATTACTTGAACTATGTAATTTTAGCCTCTTTATCCCACGTTAGTGCTCATGTTTTTAAGTCTCACACATAATTGGGACTTCAAAGGTAAAAGCAACTCCTGGTTGGATGGTTACCCTGGGTTCATAGATATTTCAAAAATACATCAACTCTTGAATTTTTCTACTGAGGCTTAATCTTAGTTACGATTAATATAATATTTTTTTCCTGTCTTTTATTGAGATTTAGCTTGTTTTAGCTACTGGTGTTTGGATTTGAAGAACATAAAAAGCATTTGGTATATAAAGAATGATGTATACAAAAGGAAGTATAAAATACGCTCTTTGTGACATGAAAGGATGGCCAAATTATACATTTTCTTTTTGGTGATGAATTTGGATTTTTCAGCACTCAACATTTACTGTCATTTAATTAGCTGAACAGGTCTCGAACATATTCTCTAGATGAATTTTATAAAGAACAGTTACAGCAAGCTACCCAGGCACAGAAGCAACTTGAGGATATCAGAGATAAAGCTATTTCTGAAATCAAAAGTACAATTTTAAAGGTAATTCTTTAATTACATCCTCTCTCTTTATCAATTTTGAATACTAACTAAAGCAGTTGCTCCAAATTACATCCCTGGACAAAGTGTTGGAAACTGGCAGGTAGATTCATTAGCCAATGAGCTAATGCTGCATATTTAGTGGGTGCAGGAAATTTTCCAGGTGCTGCGTAGAATGCAAGTATTTATGTGTACAGGTATATCCCCTGCTTTTTGAAAGTTCACGTTAACACCATTTTGCTTTTATGAAAGATCTGTATTCGTACCTCTTTTTGCTAGCTAACTGAAAGAAATCCAAAGAGAATTTTTGCCTTTATAAAAAGCCAGAAGCAAAAATAGCCTTCAGTATCCGTTTTGCAGTATCCTTTTTGTTACAGGGGCAGCACCCAGAGCCATGAGAGGGACCCCCTGGGTCCTTCCCCAGGACGCACAGTTGGTAGGTATCTCAGCATCGGGCTGACAGAGCCTTGAACTGTGTCTGTGATCTAATGTGCTTTTTCTTGACTTGGTTTGTGCATCCATTAGCAAGATGTGTCCTTACGGTATCAGAAAAGCCTAATAGAGGTGACTTTTATAGTTTGGGAGTGCTAAAAAATTCTTCCATATAAACTCATGGTAATTGCCTCTGCTTTATGCTATTTTGGATTATGGAAGGTTTCATAGTGACTCTACTTTTGGATAGTGGGAAAAATCTTGTATAAGTGTGTGTATGTAAATGTATTTGTCTCTTTACATACATCCCTTCAAGATACCTAAAATCTAATCTGAGCTGACATATATAGGGAAATACAATTTGTTATAAACTTCGGTTTCATAAGATGAAAACTCATTGCTCAAGAGAAACATACCTAGATAAGACAAAACTCTCCTAAGGATTCTATAAAAAGGACTCAGTAATGCAATGAACAGTGTCCTCTGAACATTCTTACCTGAGATGCTATGACTCATTTCACAGGATTATTCCTTACGTAGGGATTTACAACACATGGAAGCATAGTTTACAAGTGCAGTTTGGTAAGGAACTGATGCAGTGTGTCTGGTTGCGGGCTTGCTGCCTCTCTTTGCTAGTTTGGCAGAATCCAGGTGGATATTTGAGGCTCTCTGGAGGAATAAGTGGACTGGGTCTCCCTCAAGCCATTTTCAGATGTTATTTCTTGAATTAAACTTTGCTAGATACTAGGAAGTGGCAACTTCAGGGCTTTGCTTCTTGACAAGGAGATAAAATGCAGCTGTTTCACACCAATGAAAGAAGAACTCTCTTTCTTCATTGTATTCCGCAGTCACCCTAACCTCCCTAAGCCTTGTCATATGGACAGACTCTGGGACAGTTTGGCCAAGAATCATATAAATCAAACAGGGATGAACAGCACATATCTTAGACCGTGAGATAGTAGTTACATATTCCTATAGTCATTCTAGTCTCTCCCATTCAGTATCACCAGGATCTGGTCATAAATATTTGTTAAGAGATTTCCACTTAAACTTCAGATAAGAACCCATTAGACCCACTGCCAACCAACCACCAAATTATTGAAATTTACCCAAGTTATTCACTCCATGGAAGTATGCAGATTTAATAAAAAAGATCATAAAACTCAGAATGTGTACAAACCAAAAAAAAAAATATGGGGAATGGAAGTATAAATTAGGCATTGCATTAATTTTTCCTTCTTTGGTGTTATCTCTCCACAGAGGCTCATGCCCTGTTTTGACATGGCTCTTTAGCCAATACATGGCTGAGTTGCTGGGTCCCATCCCATGCGGCTACCTAAGTCAGGCAATATTCCCCCTTTCCCCATTTCCAGGCTGAGTGTAATTAGAAAGCACTGACATTACGTCTACTATTTTGTTAAGGCATTTCATATTTAAATGCTACGGACCATGATTATTAAGCTTTTGTGGGCAAGAGAATCACCTAGGAAGCTTGGTATAACAAGGGGTTTCAGTTTCAGCAGGTGTGGCCAGGGAATTTATTTCTAACAAGTTCCTAGGTGAAACTTGATGCTGCTGGTCCTGGAATCACTACTCTAGAATTCCTCAGGAGAATCAACAGTTTATTGATGTGTTCAGACTAAACTTGATATGTGAATTGAACATACTATAAAACTATATTTCTCACTGAGTTTCCCTGATCTCGGTAGCAACATCTGATTCAGAGAACTTCAGAGATATCTGTTAGAAATAAAGTCATAACTTCAGATGCAGATTTTAACAAATAATGAATCATGCCTTAAGTTTCAGTGGCTGCACCCTTTAGGAAGAATTTGAATTATTAAGCATTTGTCCTATCAATTTGACTTGCCAGAAGTTTCACCATGCATAGAATTTTGAAAGTGACGGATATTTTCATCACATCACATAATTACTACTATTTTCTTGCGGTGAGAAAGGAAAGGAAAAGCAAAGGAAACCACCAACAAAATAAAAAGGCAACCTATTGAGTGGCTAAACATATTTGCAAATGATGTATCTGAAAAGGGTTTAATATCCAAAACACATAAAGAACTTCTATGACTCAACGCCAAAAAACCTAAATAATCCAATTTAAAAATGGGCAGAGGACCTGAACATTTTTCAAAGAAGACATAGAGATAGCCAAGAGACATATGAATGCTCAGATCACTAAAAATCAGGGAAGTACAAAACAAAGCCACGATGAGATATCACCTTACCACCTGTCAGAATGGCAATATAAGAAAGACAAGAAGTACGGTGTCAGCAAGAAAGTGGAGAAACAGGGAACCCTTTTGCACTGTTGAGGTAATGTAAATTGTGGTGTAAAACAGTATGGGAAACAGTAGGAAGTAAATTAAAAACAAAAATACCAGATGATTCAGTAATTCCACTGCTGGATTATTTACCCAAAGAAAATAAAAACACTAATTCAGAAAGATATATGCACACCTATGTTTACTGCAGCTTTATTTACAATAGTGAAGATATGGAAGCAATCTAAATGTCTATTGATAGATGAATGAATAAAGGTGTGGTACATATACACAATGAAATATTACTCGGCCATCGAAAAGGATGGCATCTTCCCACTTGCAACAACATGGATTAGATCCAGAGGGTATTATGCTAAGTGAAATAAGTCAGAAAAGACAAATACTATATGGTTTCATTTATATGTGCAGCCGAAAAAATGAACAAAAGCATTCATAAATACAGAGAACAAACTAGTGGTTGCCAGAGGGAAGGGGCTTTGGAGATGGGCAAAATAGGTGAGGGGATTAACAGGTAAAAACTTCCAGCTATAAATAAATCATGGAGATGAAAAGTATAGCATAGGGAATATATGTTGTAATAATATTGTGTGGTGACAGATGGTAACTACATTTATTTATTGTGAGCATAGTATATTGTATATAGAATACAATATATTCTATAGAATTGTGAAATTTCTACATCATATACTGGAGACTAATTAGAACATTGTCAGCTATGCTTCAGTTTTTTTAAATTGCAGTTTTCAGTATGTGGATCTTTTACCTTCTTGGTTACCTATATTTGTAAGTATTTTATTGTTTTGAGGATATTATGAAAGGGATTATTCATTTTTCAGATATTTTGTTGTTTCAGAAATGCAACTGATTTCTATATCTTGATTATTAGTTTTAGTGTATTTTTGATGAATTCTTTAGGATTTTCTGTAAATAAGATTATATTATTTGAAAACAAAGATAATTTTACTTCTTTTCTTCTGATACAGATGCCTTTTGTTTCTTTTTCTTGCCTGATTACTCTTGCTGGACTGCCAGTACTATATTTAATAGGAGTGAAGAGAATGGGCACCCTTGTCTTGTTTCCAATCTTAGAGGAAAAGCTTCCAGCCTTTCACCATTGAATATGATGGTGTTAGCTGTGAACTTGTCATATATTGCCCTTATTATGTTGAGTTATGTTCCTTCTCTACCCAATTGTTGAGCATTTTTATCATCAGAGAAGGTTGTATTTTATCATATGCTTTTTCTGCATTTTTGAGGTGATCACATGATTTTTATCCTTCAGTTAATGGGATGTATCTTATTTACTGATTTGCGTATATTGAACCATCCTTGCATCCCAGAGCTATATCTTGCCTGATCATGGTGTATAATCCTTTTAATATGTTGTTGAATTTGGTTTGCTAGTGTTCTTGTGGAGAATTTTTGCATCTGCATTCATCAGGGATATTGGTCTGTAGTTTTCCTGCAGTGTTGTTATCTAGCTTTGTATCAGACTAATGCTGTAAAATGAGTTTGAGGATTGTGCCTTCAAGTTTTTGGAAGAGTTTAAATGATCCTGGCATTAATTTTTCATTAAATGTTTAGTAGAATTCACCAAGGAAACCAAATAGTCTTGGGTTCTTCTTTGTTGGGAAGTTTTTGATGGCTGACTTGTCCTTAATTGTTACTTGTGCTTCTAGTTTCAGACTTGGTTGGTCCTATGCTTCTAGTAGTTTATCTGTTTCTTCTAGTTTAACCAATTTGTTGGTGTATAACTGTTTATAGCTGTCTCTTTTGATTGGATAATTCAGCCCATTTTTATTTAGAATAATTATTGATAGGTAATACTTACTAATACTCTCCTATTATTTCCTGGCTGTTTTGTAGTTTCCTGTTCCTTTCTTCTTCTCTTAATGCCTTCTGTGGTGAATTGATGATTTTCCATAGTGCTATGCTCTGATTTTCTTTACATTTTGTGAACCTCCTATATCTCTTTGCTTTGTAGTTACTATGAGGCTAATGTAAAAAACATCTAGATAGCACAGACTATTTTACACTGGATAATTTTGATCACAACAAAAATACTACCATTTTATTTTCCCCCTTTTATGTTTTTGATGGCATTATCTACCTCTCTCTATATTGTATCTCCATTAACAGTAATGTTAGTGGAACTAGTTCTTTTTAATATTCTTGTCCTTTAATCTTTACATAAACTTAAGTGGTTAACAGCCTACCATATTACATTTTTAGAGTATTACAAGTCTGACTATGCCTTTTATCACTGTGCTGTAT